ATTATCTAGATTTTTCTCCCACACCAAATCTACGTATCTTTTATTATTTTATTATTTTCATTTTATTAATCTTATTAATAAAAGGAATTTTATTAATAAAAGGAAGGTTGCATTGGTAAACCCTAGGGCAATTTTTTCCGCTTATTTGAATTTTACAATTATCAATTACTTTCGTAATTACTTTTATTATTTTATTTTATTTTATTTAGTAAATTAAGAATCAAGATCAAATTTTTAAATCAATCCCCTCCTTTTATCATTACGTATTCTACCTCATCCTCCTTTTTTTTTTTTTTTTGGAAATGTCTTCAATCTCAAATTTTCCGTATTTAATTTGATCCGATAAGATCCATTCGTGATTTGGTATTTTTTGTAATCACATTATCCGATTTGTGTGATTTGTTGATTAATCGCAAAAGAAACGGGATATGATGAGTTTGTTCACATTATCCGATTTGTGTGATTTGTTGATTAATCGCAAAAGAAACGGGATATGATGAGTTTGTTAATGTTATATATCTGAAGTTCTATGTATCATTTAATGTGTTCAATTTTTTTTTTTTTTTTTTTTCTCCATTCCAAAAACCCTAGGGGCAGGGGATTGTTCTACAGCCGTAAATATCATCACCATTAGTCGGAGTAATTTGGATTCAGGAAATTTGTAATTCAATAATTTGAATTCGTGTAATTGCAGATTTTTTTTTTCTTTCCATATATATATATATATATATATATATATATATATATATGTATATATATATATATATATATATATATATATATATATATATATATAATTGTTTTAGAATAATATGTGTCCCTCCTAAATTTTTTTTAACTTCACACCAGAGATTCGCTCAGCTAAATTGTGTTGACTGTAGATCATGTACAATATATATTCTGGCAAAAAATATAGAGTATATTCACATAATAATAGTGAAATCATGAATTAATTAGATAGTGATCGAGTAATTAAGTATAAATTTTAATCGTGCACACGATTAAACGGTCTCATTCTCATATATCGATATAAATAATTACTTAAACGATCGAAAATAATACGAATTAATTACTTATATGATCATTATTTTTGTATCTTCGTTGTTTTTCTTCATGGAATTAAACCCTACATCGGCTTGTTTTCCACATTTAATTTACACAAACATATGCACGGTTGTCTTTAAAATATGTAGTTATAAACGCGTATAGTACTAAATATAATCTAACTGAGTGAAGTTCAACGAGAGTAGCATAGAACGAACGTCATGTTACCTTATGGCAATATATGATACATATTCGATGAAATTTATCTGAGTGTAGCATCTAACTAATAAAACTCAATTGCGACTAACATGATTGAATTTCGGCCGAATAATCCTCATACAAAAATATTTTAATTAATCAGTAAAATATAATATATATATATATATATATATATATAATTGACATCTTCAAAGTTTGCTGGATCACATGAAACTTGAAGAATTATTATTTTTATTTTGACAGTTAAAATAATTTCGTCATCATCAGCCAAAACATTAAATGCAAGAGATATCTCATCGAAGGACAATAATTAATCTCTATCAACCCATTATTTTCTTTTATTTTTCATTTTTTTATTTCTTTTATATATTTATATTAAGAGAAAATCACATATTCAGTAATGAAAGGTCAAAATCAATGGTAAATTCTTGGTAAAGCAATACTTGTTTTGGTTTTGTAACCAAACAGAAAAATATATGTTCATATATTTTGTGGTTGGTATAAGATAAATTGCTTCAAAAACATATCTTGTGATCGAAGTTCATGTTTTTCTTTTTTAATATAATAAAAAATTGAAGGGAAATTATATATAAAATAACAGATAAATAAAAAAAAATAAAAAAATAAAAGAATCTTGATTGCACATGCAAGAATTAATGGCAGCAGGCTCCATTGCTCTATATGATGAGCCACAATGTGACATAAGCTTAGGTTCTGTTTTGTTTTATACCATTTTATGACCACAATGAAATATATATATATATATATATATATATATATATATATATATATATATATACCCTATGTATGTATGTATAAATATAGGTCAACTTCTAAAGTCAATTTTCCTTTTTAAGTAGTTTCTAAAATGAAATTCATGGGCCCAATTCCAGCAAAATGGGCTAAGACGTAGTCTTTTTCATTTTTTTTTGTTTTTTTTTAAGGAAAATAAATATGGTTTCATTTTTAGGGGTGGTAAATGAAGCCGTCTCGTGATCTCGATGAGTTGGCTTGACGAAAACTCGAACTCGAACTTGAGTTTTTTGAGCCCAAGCTTTTTCTTAGTTGTTCTTGAGCTCACGCACTGGCTCGCGAGCTTTATTTTTATTTTTTATTTTATTTTATTTTAAATTTAAATAATATAATAATATAAAAATTACAAAAAGATTACAGTCATAATTTGTTTTTAAATTTTTAATATTAATATAAATATTTTTAATAATATAAATAAACTATTAAAAAAAGTGAGCTTGGGCTCGAGCTAGAGCTCGAGCTTAGGAAAAAAATACTCGATGAGCTCGTCCAAATGTACTCAAGCTCAAGCATGCCAAACCAATCGAGTTCGGCTTGTTCACACTCCTAGTTACATTGCCACTATTAAGTTTTTTAATGTGACTAAATAAATTAGTTAGTTAATTAATTAGCAAGCCACAAATTTGGTTGTCTTGGAGATATTGTGGAGTCACACAAATTAAACAAGAAGAAGCAAACAATTTCAAGATTTGCAGCTGCCTTTGTTTTCAAGACAAAATTCATTACAAGAAAGTCTTGTAATACACTCAAAACCAATAACAACTTACTTGTAATAGTATTACCATATTACCATTTAGAATATTTTTCAAACAATTTAATATAATTAATTTTACACAAAAAAAAATGTATGTATGATAACACAAGCAAATCACTCACAAAATCCATTAGTACAGTTTGTTCTATACTATGTAAAATCAACCTTGACAATGTCAAACTAACAGAGAAACTTCAACCCACGCCTAAGAAAAACACACAACTGTCAAGGACAACAAGCTGTTGAACTCAAATTAATAATGCAAAACTAATTAACAAACCATCGCTCGATTCACTTGTAATAATCTCGACCGCTAACCCCATCGAATCGAATCGGAGGGTACAGATCCTTGCACAAATCCACCGAATAAAGATCCGCATCGGCACTTCTCCTTCCCTTCACCTTCGACAACGGACTAGGCTTCCTACGCAGCATCGGCAAATCCTCCACAGAGTGCCTATGAAACAATCCACCGTTGCCCGATATCGAGTTGTACGTACAAGGCCTCTGCTTAGCCTTGGTTGACCTGGTCAAACTCATGTAATTAGGCTTTGTGCCGTTGCTATTTTCGTTCGAACCTGGATTTTCGGAGGTCGTTGTCGATGAATTCGAAGTCATGCTCTCGTCGGAAAACGGGTCGGAGAGAATCTGACAGCTCATCGAGACTTTCGAGGAGGGCGTTCTTGTCTTTGTAGGAGTTGGCGTTGCGATAATTTCTGAGGAATCGTTTGGGGAATATTCCTCTCTTAGCCTCCTCGTCTCCCACGGCTTGTTCGCCATCCAACGCTCCAACCAAGGGAGCTCTAGATTGTTGTTCTTGTTCGTTCTCGAAGGGGTTTTTCGCAATTGCTGCAATTTTTTTAAAATGTTCGATTAGTCGAACAAATCTTTCAAAAGTTTCGATTCTTTTTTTTAATTAATTAACTAATTAACTTAACTACCTGTTGAGAAAGAGCATATGCAATAGCTCTCTCCCTCTTGATTGCTCCTTCTTGCTTCATTTGCAACTTCGACATCACTTCGCCTACGGTCCCGCGCCTATCGCACCACCCACTCTGCTATTTTCACCGCCGAAAAAAAAAATTAATTTTCGGTTTCCAACATTAAAATGCAATCATATTATAAAATAACCAAACCTCGGAAATTTTTAGGGGATCGGCTAGGTTTGAATACTCGGGCGGGTCCCCTGCACACGATTGGGTGCACTGAGCCCGAACCCTAGCTTGAACCCTAACTAGGGCTTGCATGCACCTTAGGGTTACGGCGGCTTGCTTTCTAACGAGCCGCCCTCGGACTATAGCTTGTAGTCGAACCAATGCTTTTAAAGCTCTCAATGCTCGCCGAGCCTTTCGATTTTATATTTAACAGAAAAAAATGGCTTAATTAGACAACAAGATTACTCTCAGTAAATAAAAATTGAGTCTTTGTAAATTAAATCATGTAAAAATAAAAATGTAGGAAAAAAACAGAGGATTTATTATTTATTACCAGAAAAGCACGAAAAAGAGTCTGAATTCGGACAGCAGCCCATTCACGGCGGACGACCATGAAATCCTTGGGGGAAGCTTTGGCCAGAGCAGCGACGGCGGCCGCCATCTCGGAATCAAAAGCGTAGGAAGAAGCCTCTGATCCGTCGGTCTCCGCCGCATCGCCGCCGCCGCCGGCGTTGCCGCCACCAGATCCAGTCCTCCATAGCTTCCACTTCCTGCCCTTACCACCCCCTTTCTCCTAAATCAAAACAATCCAAAAAAACCAGAAAATAAATTAGAAATTGGGTTTTTATTCAGCTGGGGCAATTTCTGCAGAAAATAAAAAAATCGGAAGAAATTAATTTCGAAGATCCCGGCTTACGGGTTCGTTAACGGAGGGTTTTTTGAGTCCGATCAGAGATTTGATCCATTTTCCAGAAGCACCCATTTTTGCAGAGAGAGAAATTCAGAAGAAGACAAAATAGAAGAAAGGAAAAGCATATGGGGTTTTGCAGAAAGAAACGATTGGAATTCTCGAAAATTGGAGCGATTTTTCTTAAATTTAATAACTGGAGAGGAGCGGAGTGTAATTTTTGAAATTTGAAATTTTGAAAGAAGAAAAAGAATATTAAAGATGGAAGCAACGAAATGGAAAGTTCCAACGGATAGTATTTCTTCGAGGACTTTAAGGATTGCTTTTCTTCAGTTTGAAATTGATCAATACGACGTAGTTTCCCGGGTTAAGTGTATTTTTTTTCCTTTTTTTTAGGTGGGCCATATTCATTCAAAGTATTGGGCCTTCATTTTCTAGAGAATGGGCCTATTTAAAAATGTTCACTAGATTTTGGGACAATTGTAGTTTTCACCCCTCAAGTTTGTACTAATTTCACATTTCGTCATCCATGTTCAGAAAAAATACATTTGGTCCATCGTGTTTCAGTAATTGAACATTTTTGGTCATTTTCATGAACTAAACGTTAGTCCGTCAGTTAAGGGGCAGTAAGTAATGGGCACACGTTTTATTCCATAAGTTTTAACGGAAATGACCTGAAAGTTTTGAATTTTTGAAACATAAGGGTCTAAATATGTGTTTTATGAACATAGGGGAACGAATGTGAATTTAGTACAAACTTGAGGGGTGAAAACTGTATTTTCCCCATAAATTTCATAAAAATAGGATCATTCTTGGCCCGTGATTATATTTAACAACAACAAAAATAAAAAAAAAACCCCTTAGTTTTAATTAATTACATAAATACCCCTACAGGTTGTAAATTTCTTACATTCAACCCCTTAAAAGGGTGTTAATGTACCTTACCTCAGGGTGCTGGTTGTAATTTACCCAAATTATCAATAAAGGAGAGGACAGATTATTGAACATCAGTCGGTTGCAAAAACCAGAAATTCCCAATGGCAGAACAAAAAGGAACCGAGTTCGCAGTTTCTCACTCTGGTACGAAATTTCGTTTTCATGTTTAGGTTTTACTAAATTCGCCCTTATTTTCACAATTTTTTTTTTTATTTTCATCTACACTTGATTTGGGGCTGTACTGTAATTTAGCTGTTTTAGCTGATTTTCTGCTTCAAGTCTTATGTATTGGGTGATTTTCAACTACTCGGTGTTGTTATAGAAGAAGAATTCTTACCAAAGATTCAATTTTTATTTTAAGGAAAACTTGTCAATGTTTGGATGCATTTTGGGGCTTATTTTAATTAGGTTTAGGGGAAATGTTTTTGGGGAAAAATTTGAGAATGAAGTAATCGTGAGATGAGCTTGTGAAAGCCAATTGGATTTAGAATTCACATTGTACTCTTCTATCGCTAATTTACAAATAGGATTAAGTAATAACCTTTTGTGTGTGTGTGTGTGTGTGTGTGTGTGTAATTGTATATATGTGTCCAATTCCATCGCAACGTCGCACGTATTTTGTAGCCGAAGCGGACAATTTTTTTTATAAATAAAATGCTAAAGTAATTTAGAATTCTTGAAAAAAAAAATATATTATTAATATTGGAATTGTAGAACAATAGTATGATGTAATGATACAACGTTTATGGTTATTACATAAACATGTGTTTGTCACTCCCATTATAGATTCGTTTAGAAATTTATGCTAGTTGTGTATCTCGTCGTTGTTGTTTGCTTGTTATGGAGATGAACTTATGTCAAATGGGGATATTAATAATTGACGTTATACACTTGTACGTCTAGTAGACGAAGGTGCAAGTTCGCAAAACGTAATCAAGAAGTCGAAAAATGAGAACGAGGCGGTGATTGATAGTGATAAATCGCCTCACCATCACGAAGAAACGCACGGGAAAAGTGACGACATTGATGAGAACACTGCGGTGGATGAAGTCAAGGGACCGAGTGTGTTTCAACGTGCAAAGGAAGAAGTTGAAGCTATAGTCGGATCAGTTCTGCCGAAGAAATAGTTTGTAAGTGGAGTTTTGCACGTACATTTGTTCGTTCTTTGTGATGTTAGATAAGTCGATAGTTGAATGTATGCTGTGTACTCGTTGAATGTCCTTCATATAAAATGTGCGAGTTTTTTTCCCGAATTTGATTGATTTTGTTTATATTATTACCAAATTATTGCATTATTGTTTACATGTTGGGGTTGGATCGAAATTAATATTTTAATAAAAAAAATTGCATTTTTCGGGTCTAAAAGATTTAAAACGGCAATTCAAAGTTTAAATCAATTAATAATCGACTATAATCATTCGATATATGATAGAAATCGCACGAATCGGTCAGTAACTAGTTGAAAACAAAATAGAAATTTCAGTTGTAAATAATAATGTAACTCTACAAAAAATATATATATATATATATAATTCCGAAGATTGAAAATTTCGGATCAAAATCGACGCCATTTGAAAATTATGTTATGAACTAAACCGGGAAAAAAAAAAGTTTAAATTCTTTTTTTATATATATATCTTGAAATAAGTGAGGGAAAAAAATTCAAAAGGTTGAATAAGAAAAGATGAGAGGGTACCATAAATGAAGAGAATCAGTGTGTAATCAAATCCATGAACAGTGAGTCACAGCTCAATCACTGAAAGACATTTCAGAGTTCTCTACCTATTTATTGACTGCTGTGTTTCATCAATTCCCCTCTCATTTCCATTAATTCTTTTATTTTTATGGATTAATATATTAATTAAAAAAAATAAAACATTCCAAATATATTATATAATAATAATCCCAGTAGGCTCAATGCAGAGAATCAGAAATCTGAAGCAGCATCGAAAAGGTGTCTATCTATATATCAGCTTTCTTCATTAGTTTGCCAGCTCTGTATGACTGTATCATATATATATATATATATATATATACACGTTAAGTAGTGTACTAGTTTGGATCTGATTAACTAACTTATTACCCCATCTTTTCCCTTCTGGCTTCTGCTACTGACTGACTGAAAATGAATGAATGAATGAATGAATGTTTCAGACATTTATTGAAAATTAAAATTAGTTTTTTTTTCCTTTTATTTTTGCAGCCTTTTTAATTTGAATTTTATTTATTTATACCAGTTTTGGAATGTAGTGTCAGAGAGAAAAGGGAGGCTATGCTATGAGGATCCCAACATTGGTATTGCTTGTGCAAATGAATCTACTAGTAAAATTTCAAGAAACTCCTTTTTCATCAGTTTATATAATTAATTAATTAATTAATTAATTAGATTCTCTTCTTTCTTAAGCAACACCTCTGTAGTCTCTACATACTACTCTGTATATGATCTCTGCCTATACTTATGCTACAGTATGTGTGTGTGTGTTAGAGAGAGAGAGAGAGAGAGAGAGAGAGAGATGTGTGTGATTTGGGGAAATGGGAAAATTTTGTTGTTATTTAGGAAAGAATTACGGCCCCTTGTTTATATTTAGCAATCTTGCATGCCCTCTTCCAGCAAGATCCAAGTCTTCTACTATACAAACTTCTCTCTCTCTCTCTCTCTCTCTCTCTCTCTCTCAATCTCTCTCTCCTCGTTTCTCTCTCATAAAATAGAATCATGAGGGCAACAAGCATATGTTGCTTTCTTGTATTGCTTCTGCACATTATCCTTTCTTTGCCTAATGGCGGTTCAACCGCCAGAATATTTCACTCTCCACATGCTTTTGCTGCTGCTGCTGGTAATAATATTCTAATTTTATATATGTATTTTTCTATTTTGGTAAATATTGTTTATCAAAAATATGTGATGAAAACACATATTCTTGATCAGCAGGCACACTCCTAAATACCAAGCCACTGCAAACAACTCATCAGACCTCACTCCAGGTATATACATATATATATATACACACATCATCTGTATACCATTTGTCTCAAATCATCATATCCATATATTAAAAAAAAAAATTAAATTAAATTATTATTATTTTATTTTCAATTATAATAATAATAAATTAAGAAGGGCATGATTATGAAGAAGAGAGTGGAATTAGTAGTGAGAGAGGGAGGGGCAAAAAGGGAAATGCAAAGAGCAGGGTCAAGCCCGCCGAGCTGCGAGCACAAGTGCTACGGTTGCATGCCGTGTGAAGCTATTCAGGTGCCCACCACCACGCTCCAGTACACCAATTACGAGCCCGAGGGCTGGAAATGCAAGTGTGGCCCCACCTTCTACACCCCCTAACTACTATTTTTATTATTTTGTAATATATTATTATTATTATTATTAGTTGTAGGAGAAATTTTGCCCTTTTTTTTTTTTTTTGCAATTATTTTAAGGATTTTTTTCTGCTGATTAAAACTTTGTTATGAATCTGTTCTGAAATGTGTGAAAAGGTGGGTTAACGCAAACTGTTAATACTAATTAGGGGTTTATTACTATAGAATTAAATATTAGGAGTTTTAATTGAATTGTAACCAGACATATATATCCATTATTGAGTACTATTGTACATAGGGTACCTAAATCGTACCATTATGAGAGAATATTACACAAATATCACGAACAATTGAACACCCAATTTATTGTCGTTCGACTCAATGAGAGCATACATTTACCAAACGATCCAAGAAAACAATAATTAATCGAGAGTATCAAATTTTACATCAACTCTAAGCAATTAAAATGCATCATATAACCGCCTTAACACAAGAGATTCCACAAGTTAGCTCCATATAACCCCGCCTTAACACTCTTCAGTCATTGGTTGTCTGAGCTGCTCCATTCTCCACCGTTTGATCTCCAGCTCCTCTTGATGTATCAATTATTCAACTTCCATAAGATTGAATCACAAATCAACAAACTTCTATCCATATTAAATACATAATATAAATGAATTAGACGATGCATTTGAATCTCTCAATGGTGAAAATATTTAATTTGTACTACTCCAAATACATTATATATACAAAATAAAACTTTAATTTTTCCATGAATTAACTTGGCCCGGCCCAAATAATCATATAAATTGGCGGCCCATCAAACAAAACATCAACAAACTGAGATCTTCAGAAAAATTAGAGCTTTGCTATATTCAAGAGTAACAAAAAAATTCCCAAATTTCCATTCTGCAAATTCGTTCGTTAGCAATGGCAACCTTCCTCAGTCAAGTAAGTTCCTTCTCGTGATTTTTCTGCTTCAATTGTTGTTTCTGGATTGTTGATCTCAACTTCCCGATTCGCAAGATCTGATATTTTCTGCATTTTTTTTCTCTCGCTCGTAGCTGATTTTAGATCTGAAATGTCAGCATTCCCCTGTTGATCTCCCTTTGATTCGTATAATTTGTGTGTTTTATATCCAATCCCTTTCAGAAATAATCGTTAATTTGTAAATTATATGTAGTTCCTTTGAAGAATCAAGCATTTTGATCGCTGCCCGGTGTGTGTGTGTGGAGATATTTATTGGCAAACAGAACCTTAAATTTGATATTTGGATGATTATGAGTGATAATTATTTTTTATTAGGAAATATATAATCAGGACTGTGTGCGTGCATTTTTTGTGTAAGCGTGTGAGATGCATTTTGGGATCACAATTCACACGTGTGCCCTGTATGTGTGAACAATATCAGTAATATGAATAGTGGATATACGAGTTCACTTTTATAATTATCGTAAAATGTGTGTGTGCGCGACTATGATCTGATAAATTTTGGTTTTTGGCGAATGATGAAGTGATCAGTAATGTAATTAGGAATTTTGATAATTAGTTAAGTAGGTGTTAACAATGATTTATGGCTGTAATTTTGATCACGCGAAAATGTAGGAGGCTTGCCCGACTATAAAGAACATTCTTTTGTTGGATTCCGAGGGGAAGCGTGTTGCTGTCAAGTACTATTCAGATGACTGGCCGACAAATAGTGCCAAACTCGCATTTGAAAAGTCCGTTTTTACCAAGACTCAAAAGACTAATGCGCGTAACGAAGGTACATTTAATCTTGAGCTCAATTTACGGGGAACGTCATAAATTTCTCGTTAAAACAAATCACATTTTTTTCTCTTTTCTTTTTGGGATATCTGAATTGCTTAATTTTGTGGTTTGAAGCGGAGATAACAATGCTGGAGAGCAACATTATCGTGTATAAGTTTGTTCAAGATCTGCACTTTTTCGTGACTGGGGGAGACGATGAAAATGAACTGATTTTAGCTACTGTCCTACAGGGCTTCTTTGATGCAGTCACTCTTCTCCTCAGGTTTTATATTAATGAACATGTTGGTGCCTATTATTTGTTTCTCGATGAACGATTCATTCTGATCGTGTATTGTTTGTTTAGGAACAATGTGGAACAAAGGGAGGCGCTCGAGAACTTGGATCTGATTCTTCTGTGCCTTGATGAGATTATCGATGGAGGGTAGGTTATGACCCTTGCGACTAATTTCAGATAAATAATTTAATTCTTGCTCCTATAAATTGGTTTAATACTATTAAGTTCAAATTATTTCTTTGTTCGAAATCCCAACATTCATCTGCTTTAGCATGATCAACCGCCGATATAAGTTTTTTTTTTAACGTGAATTTACCTTCCTTTACGTTTCATGTTCTCTAGAATTCTGCTTGACAAACTGATTAGATGAGATATTTGAAAATTAAAATGCTGATTCTCCTGAGCCGTAAAAAAAAACTTGATCATCCAAAATAGTGGAAGCTTTCTGCATTATCCACATTAACCATGTCTTCATTGTCTTTTCTCATATCACGAAGTAACGAACACTTCTGAAAAATGTATATATCTTCAGATACGTGTTAATATTTTATTAATTTGATTGTCTGGCTTGTTACATGAGACTGATATTTCCTTGCTTGGTTTCTCCCTCATCCTTTTAATCGGGACAAATCGTGATTACCAACATATTACACTTGTGTATTGCAGGATTGTTCTTGAAACAGATGGTAGTATTATTGCTGGAAAAGTAGCCACCCACAGTATGGATGATGGGGCACCACTCTCTGAGCAGGTGATGTTTTAATTATACAAAAAAAAAAATCGCTTTGTTTTATTTACGTTTTTTTGCCATGAAACTTGACGCATTTAGAGAAATGCCCTCGATAAAACAAAAAACAAATGTTTATAAGCCCGCATATATGCGAGGTTCGATGGATCAGTTCTTCGTTTTTTAATGTTGTCCTAATTTGGATCGTTATTTGCAGACGATATCTCAAGCTCTGGCCACCGCACGCGAACATTTGACAAGATCACTTCTAAGATGAAACCATCTCTTCTCAATTCTCATACAGTACATCTGAAAAAAGCATCGATTATTTGATGCTCCCCCTACCTAAATTGTAGTTCGTCTGTGCTCATTTTTCTTCGTCGAGGTTCTATTGTTCTAAATACTTAAAAGATTATGTCTGCAATTTTTTTGTGGTTTCTTTTTGTATTCCATTTTCAATAGATTTCTTGGACACTATCTTTTTGTGTGCCTAAAATATAGCTGCTTCATTTTCATTTATAAAATATTATTACAGGCATATATAAAATATTTTCATTTAAATACAAAAAAAAAATTGCCAAAATTTTCTTTCAAAATGGACTTATCGAACACATTTAAACATGAGTTGTTGGTACTGGTTAATGTTTGGTTACGAAGAATATTATCGTGATACCACATTTAGCACGAGATTACGAACAATTTTAATTAGTTTGTTACTAGGGATCTAGTACAATTTAATCTAATATAATTTAAGTTAATACGACCAAACAAGGCCTAAATTAATTATTTCTAAATAACTTTAATATTAAAAGAAAATGATAATAATATATGGTTTTCTGATGAATCTCAATAAGACAGAACTACTGCCCACCTTTAATCCTCCCAGCCTGGATTGTTTTGTTTCCAAATGGCAAAATTAATCCTTTTTTTTGGCTTATTTGCTAACTTCGAATAATCCTCAGTTGAATTTTTTTATGAGAGAGAAAGCCAAAATAAGATAAGTTTTTTTTTTTTTATAAGAAAGAGAATAAGATAAGTCGTGGTCACGTTTTAAGCATCAATTGGGTTGGGACTAAAAATAGTATAAATAGCAGGCCAATACCTTTTCAATATATATATAAATATATATTTTTTAGTTTCAATAATTTTATTTCCAATTTATATAGTGTCCAGTGGCGAGGCCAGTATAGGTTCAAAAGGGGTCACAACCCCCAACAATTCTCGAATTCCTATGTTTTATGTAAATATTAAAAAAAAATCATGTATAATTAGCATTATCAGCCCCCCTCATAAAAGTTTTAATGCATTCGACTCCGCGAACTTATAATTCTGACTCCGCTAGTAATAGTGTCTAAGCTAAGGAAAATTGATAATAATGAAATTGAAGAAATGACTTAGCATCTAAGTCTACGAAAAAATCCAAGAAGAAGAAAACTAAATAAATAATTGAGATAAGAATTAAAATAGTAGTGGAACTTTCTTTTTTACATGATTTTCCAAAGCAAGTTCCTCTCATTTGCCACCTTTTGACATTTTTCTGATATTGGGTCCAATAGTTTACAAAAGTCCAAATTACTAAACATTTCCCCTTTACGTATTTTTTGGGTGTTGGATTATCAATAATTTATTATAATAGCTTGAAATTATTTATAGTCCCTATTTTGTTTTTAAATATCTTTTTTTTTTCCCCTTACAAAAGTGTCTCAAATTAAAAGTTATTTTAAATTGGACAATTGAAGTTTTAAAACTCGTTATTTCGACTAATTATTTTCTTGAATTAGTCGGTTGGTTTTTATTCATGACGACCTAGCTACTTCGGGTACCAAAATAAAATTACGCAATCTTACAAGTACAAAATGGTATACGTGGATTAGAGGATGTCAAATTTCACATTCGCAGACCGCAAAGAAAATAAAATAAAATATATAAATCGTCGGTTAATCGAACGATAAAAAATATTTAATGAATTATAGTTTATTATTTACTAATTCCTTATTGATTTTTTTTAATCCCTCGTGGGACAATAAATACTACCCACTTTGTTGCCCAATTATAAATGCTTCCAATTCTCTTTTTGTGAATGACTACATACACAAATTTCCATTTCTTTATCATTTTGGAAAAAAATAATTTGCTTTATTAAAAAAAAAAATTATAATTTGATTTTTAACATTTAAAAAAAAAATATTGAAGTAAATTCAGAATTAAGAAACTTATTATATTTATTTCATATTTGACCAAAAATAGTTCATTTGCCAGGTTAAGCGACGTGGGACCCACTTAAACCAAGCAAACAATTAGACGCGCTGTCAAATGTGTTTTGACTAGTCTAACAAGATTTTATTGATTTTTAAAGTTTTAATCATATTTTTTTAGAGGTTATATACAATATAAAATTAAATATAAGTAATCATGATAATAATAATAGTTACTCATTTTTTGGTTAGTTTAATTAAAAATTGCAAGTACATAGAATTGATTATATAATATTAAGATCGTGCAAGTGTTAAATAGTAGGAATAAAATTATTTAAATTAATATAAAATGTAAAAGTCATCACCTCCATTTTCATTCATTATCCAAAAAATAAAATGTGTTTAGGTGTGATATTCCAACTAATTGGATCAAAATAGTATTTGAAACATTTATTTTTATAATAAATTGAATTCTTTCAAAAAATAAATAAAAGAAAAATCATACTACGGAATTCGAAAATTTGTATCCGTAGTTTTGATTTTCACCGATAATATTAAACACACAACATATAAAATAATATATATTTTTCGGAAAAAAATATATACTTTTAGAATTATTTTCAAAACTTCAGATTCAAAATCAAAATCTCAAAATACGATTTTGATTTCGGGGCAACTTTTTTAAATAATCGCAAATTTAAATTTGTTTTTAATATAAATTCATCCCTATTTTTCCACGAATCGTAAAATTCGCAGCCAATCAAATAATACAAATTACACATAATTAAGACTATTCTAATAAGTTATAGCAACAAGACTTGTCAAATGAAGAAAAAAAAAATTCAAGACTATACCAAGTCTTGGCAAATTTTGATTCTAATTCTTTAATTAATTATGATTTATTTATGGAAAATAGATTAATAAAATGTGGAAAAAAAATAAAAAAATAAAAAATGAAATGAAAATAAAGAAAGCGTGAAACGCTGGTATTGTTGTTTGAGTTCGATCAGAGAGAGAGAGAAGAGAGAGAGAGAGAGAGAGAGAGAGAGAGAAAACTCTTTCGTCACTGAACAAATCAATCTCTTCTTCCCTCCCATCCCCAATTTGAGGATTCGACCCACACACTTTTTCCCGTTAATTCTTTCATTTTTTTCTCTTCTCCAATGCGATCTCTCAGCTGAAATTCCACCTCGGCTTCTACCAAATTCCCCATTTCGCTGAAGAATTTCTCGGGTAAAACAATTAACAAATCATTTTTTTTTGTGTTTGAATCGTCTGTCTCTACGTTTCTGTGCGTGATTCGTGTTTTTTTGTCAATGTGGGTTTTGTTTAGCGGCAGTGAATTGAGTGAAATATTTGAATATTTCTTTTGTGTGTGTGTGTGTTTATTTGAGCTGCACTGGAGAAAATTTCAAATTTGAGCTGACATTGGGATGAATTTATGATGCATTTGTTGCATTTATTTTTTTCTTTAAAATTTCGGTTATTTGAATTTTTTTTTTTTTGTTTGTTACTGCGTTTTAGTGTTGAAGAAAATGATGAATTCTTTTGCTACAAATTTAAACTGAATCTTTGTTGTTGGTTAATTTTGAATTTGTTTAGGGTTATTCTTGGCTTTAACTGATCCTTAATTTGATTTTGGGATGTGATTCATCTGTTTTTTTTTTCATGGTTTAATTGACTTGACTTAGCTAAAGATCTTGAAATTAGTCAATATGTAGATGTTCACATGGATGAATATTGACTATCTTGATGAACTCGAATTGCATATAACAGATAAAGTACCATAAACCCCTCTTCGTTTAAATTCGTTTTCCAGGTGCTGCGAATTTCTGAAAATCGAGGTTTTCTCAAGGGTGTAGCTTTCATGTTAGCAAGTCAATCCATCCATGATGTAAGCAAGCCCTTTGCTTGCACAGTGGAGGAAAGTTTCAAAACTTTCTCATCATAATTCTTTCGACCTTAAAAAAACATTTAAAAAATGGCCGGTGGTAGAATAAGGGCAAGAATCCGCCGTAGCCATCTCTACACATTCGCATGTTACAGATCACCAACCACCCAAGAGGACGGCCCGCACGATTTCCAAGGGCCCGGTTTCTCAAGAATAGTGTACTGCAACCAGCCACAAATGCACGAGCAAAAGCCCCTCAAATACTGCACAAATTACATCTCCACCACAAAGTATAACGTGATCACCTTTCTCCCAAAGGCCATATTTGAACAATTCAGACGTGTGGCCAACTTGTACTTTCTTTTAGCTGCAGTACTATCTCTAACGCCCGTTTCGCCCTTCTCCCCCGTGAGTATGATCGCACCCCTCGTTTTTGTCGTCGGTTTAAGTATGGCGAAAGAAGCTCTAGAAGATTGGCGTAGGTTCATACAGGACATGAAGGTCAATTTACGAAAAGCCAACGTGCACAAAAAAGATGGTGTATTTGCTCTCAAGCCGTGGATGAAGCTTCATGTGGGGGATATAGTGAAGGTGGAGAAGGATAAATTCTTCCCCGCCGATTTGCTTCTCTTATCTTCGAGCTATGAAGATGGAATTTGTTACGTCGAAACTATGAACTTAGATGGGGAGACTAATCTGAAGGTGAAGCGATCTTTAGAGACTACTTTGCCCCTTGAAGACGATCAAACTTTCAAGGACTTTTCCGCAACTATAAGATGCGAAGATCCGAACCCGAATCTCTACACTTTCGTGGGCAACTTCGAATTCGACCGCCAGGTGTTCCCTCTCGATCCTAGTCAGATTCTCCTCCGTGATTCGAAGCTTCGAAACACTGCCTTTGTTTATGGAGTTGTGATATTCACCGGCCATGATAGTAAAGTGATGCAGAACGCTACAAAATCTCCTTCGAAACGGAGCAGGATCGAAAAACAAATGGACAGAATAATATACGTTCTATTCAGTTTACTAGTGTTCATTTCCTTCATAAGCTCTGTCGGTTTCATTGCAAAGACAAAAAGGGATTTGCCCAAGTGGTGGTACTTACAGGTTCCGGATGAAGACAGTTTATACAATCCAGGGAGGCCATTGACATCGGGTTTCTATCATTTAGTCACTGCTCTTATATTGTACGGTTATTTAATACCGATATCTTTATACGTGTCGATCGAGGTTGTAAAAGTTCTCCAAGCATTATTCATAAACCGTGATATTCACATGTACGATGAAGAAACAGGAACTCCCGCTCAGGCGAGAACCTCGAACTTGAACGAGGAGTTGGGACAGGTGGACACAATCTTGTCCGATAAAACAGGCACTTTGACTTGCAACCAAATGGACTTCCTCAAATGCTCGATCGCTGGCACACCGTATGGGATGCGTAGTAGTGAGGTGGAACTTGCTGCGGCGAAGCAAATGGCGTTGGATATTGACGGGCAGAGCCAGGCGAGCACGCCTCAGTCGTGGAGGAAGAGCAGCGGGGCATTTTCGGAAGTTGAATTAGAGACTGTGATTTCTTCGAAGGACGAACGGCCTGCTATAAAGGGGTTTAGTTTTGAGGATGTTCATCTCATGAATGGGAATTGGTTGAAGGAGCCGAATGCGGATAATGTATTGTTGTTTTTTAGGATACTTTCGATTTGCCACACGGCCATACCGGAGGAAAATGAGGAGACGGGGTCGTATACTTACGAGGCGGAGTCGCCGGACGAGGGTGCTTTTCTTATTGCTGCGAGAGAGTTCGGTTTTGAGTTCTGTAAGAGGACTCAGTCAAGTATATTTGTGAGAGAGAGATATCCTTCTTTTCAAGAACCTATTGAAAGGTAAGACCACGAACAAGTAATCTGAAATGTTAAATGTCATTTCAATCTTACTAATACAGTTTTGATTTCTAACGTGATTGTGACCCATTTATATTCTGATTTTGGCAAAATTCAAAACACGGAAACCGTAGTCATTGGAGTTAGCTTTCTAATCCAACTTGAAACAGCTAGATTGGATGTTAGGTGACGATGTTATGCATATCTTTCTCACCCGACATCCAATCGTTGTGATTCAAGTTGGATTAGAAAGCTAACTCAAAGAACTACAAATTCCATATTTTGGGTTTTCCCAATTCAGCCTCGAAAATGGTTAAAATCACGTTTGAAGTCGAAACGGTATTATTAAAACTGGAACAACATTTATCACATCATGTAAGTAGTTCTTGTTAGAAATACCTTTTATCTAGTGGAAAATAATTTTAGTTTTTAAAATATATAAATTCAGGGAGTACAAGGTTCTTAATTTGTTGGATTTCACTAGCAAAAGGAAGAGAATGTCGGTTATTGTTAGGGATGAAAACGGCCAAATTCTTCTCCTCTGCAAAGGAGCTGACAGGTTCTGCTACTAGTCATTTATGTTTAGCAATTTGAGATCAAATGATTTGCGCTCGAATTTATTCCATTTTTTTTTTCTATTACAGCATTATATTTGATAGACTAGCGAGAAATGGGAGAACGTACGAGGAAGCAACGACGAAGCATTTGAATGAATACGGGGAGACTGGATTGAGAACTTTGGCACTTGCTTACAAAAAACTAGACGAGGCTAAATATTCTGCATGGAACGAAGAGTTTATGAGAGCGAAAACCTCGATTGGAGGTGATAGAGAAGGAATGCTCGAGCGGATTTCTGATATGATGGAAAAGGATTTGATACTTGTTGGGGCTACTGCTGTGGAGGACAAATTACAGAACGGAGTATGTCGTATATCTTATGGATCTTTTTTGGAAATTCATAATGAATTATCTCTCTTAATATCTCCCTTTCTCTTAATTACTCTATGTAGGTGCCTCAGTGTATAGATAAACTAGCACAAGCTGGTTTAAAGATATGGGTTTTGACAGGCGACAAGATGGAAACCGCAATTAATATAGGGTCTGCTGACTTTTTTATTTTTTTCTTTATATTTTTTAAATTTGGCAAATCTATGATCGGATATATTTCTAGATGCTAAAGACTCAAACTTTGTTCTTGTGTAGATATGCGTGTAGTTTGCTTAGGCAGGGAATGAAGCATATATGTATAACAACGATGAACACCGATGCAATAGTCGAAGATCCGAATAAGGTAATTAATTGTCTATAAGAAATAATGTGGAATAATATTTTGTATTTTTCTTCTTCTTCTTATTCTTCTTTCTTGATGAAGGCTATAAAGGAGAATATCTTAATGCAAATTACGAACGCGACCCAAATGATCAAATTAGAGAAGGATCCACATGCTGCGTTTGCTTTGATAATTGACGGGAAAACGCTGACTTATACTCTTGAAGACGATATGAAGCTCCATTTCTTGAATTTGGCAGTTGGTTGCGCTTCTGTTATATGCTGTCGCGTTTCGCCAAAACAGAAAGCTTTGGTCGGGCCCTCTTTTTTATTTGATTGTCCTTTTAAATAATAATATAAATATAATATAATTCCAAGTTATCTTTTTCCTCACACTTACTTATTCGGTAATTAGGTAACGAGATTAGTAAAAGAAGGAACTGGGAAAACCACATTAGCAATTGGTGATGGTGCAAATGATGTTGGCATGATTCAAGAAGCTGATATTGGTGTCGGCATTAGTGGATGTGAAGGAATGCAGGTTGGTGAAAATATATATATATATATATATATATATATATATATATATATATATATATATATATATATATATATATATATATATATATATATATATATATATATATATATATATATATATATATATATATATATATATATATATATTCTCTTATGTATCTATATGCATCTAAGAAATTATGGGTTTGTCCTTTTTAGACAATTGAAAAAAAAATATATACGTGCTCGTTGTTTTTCTCCCGATTCACCCTCATTTTTATATCATATAGCAGAATTTTTTTCACCTGCCCATTCAATAATATTTTTTATCGAACTAAAGAGAAAAGGGCTTTTTTCAAAAAAAAACAAAAAACAAAAAGACAAGTGTGTATTCTGTCAAATAGTGAAGCAGCTTCGTTTATTTTAACGAACCTCAAAAGTATAGGCTTTTCATTTTCTCAAGAAGTACTATATCCTCCCATTACAGCTCCCATTCTTGTTAACATATCTTTCTCGATTTTTAAATAACCAAGAAAAATAGTTCGTTATTGCATTAGTTTTTTTCGTACGATCCAAAAACTGGCTGACTTAATATCAGCTGTTTGCAGGCTGTGATGGCTAGTGACTTTGCGATTGCACAGTTTCAGTTCTTGGAGAGGCTTTTGGTCGTACACGGACATTGGTGTTACAAACGAATCGCTCAGATGGTAATTGACCATTTTATAAAAAGTAAAAAAAAAAAATTATTTTCACGGCATTTTTCCGCTAATTCTTGAATCTTTCTGATGAATGCAGATATGTTATTTCTTCTACAAAAACATTGCGTTTGGCCTTACAATATTCTATTTCGAGGCTTTCGCGGGATTTTCTGGGCAATCGGTGTATGTTGATTGGTATATGCTGTTATTCAATGTCGTCCTTACTTCGTTGCCTGTAATTTCGCTCGGAGTGTTTGAACAAGACGTCGATTCTGAAGTGTGCTTGCAGGTTAGTTCTCTTATGTGCCTTCTACTTTCTTTTTTCCCTCACACGATAAATTCCCCATATCCCCTTTTTCAATTACTCACATTTTATGCAAAATTTAAATAAAAACCTTGATAATTTAATACTCGATTAATTGATAAAATCGCTAAATTAATAAACCACTAAATTTATAAGATAATAAATATGCCCTGAATATGTTTATAGACCACCCCATTCAATATACAATTTCATAATACCTTAAAAGGAAGTAATAAATCTGTAATGTATTCTTACTCCTTTAATTAATTTATTAACTTTCAAAAAAATTGGCCAAATTGTAATTTTTTTCCCCAACCGATGTTACCTTGAATCTCACCTCTAGTTTGTTTTAACATAGTAAAAACTTTCGGTGGTGGTTTGGTCATTACATCAAATAATTTATCGAGTATTTCATTAACTATTTAATATATGGATTGACAGTTTCCAGCATTATACCAACAAGGCCCGAAGAATCTCTTCTTCGACTGGTACAGAATATTCGGTTGGATGGGCAACGGCCTCTACACCTCCCTTATAATATTCTTCCTCAACATAATCATCTTCTACGACCAGGCCTTCCGCCCGGGTGGCCAAACCGCCGACATGACCGCAGTCGGGACCACAATGTTCACCTGCATAATCTGGGCGGTGAATACCCAAATCGCCCTCACCATGAGCCACTTCACCTGGATACAGCACCTCTTCGTCTGGGGCAGCGTCGTCTTCTGGTACCTCTTCCTCTTCGTGTACGGTGAGTTGACCTACGCACTCGACGTCAACGCCTTCAGGGTCCTGTCGGAGATTCTGGGCCCCGCCCCTATCTACTGGTCAACCACTCTGCTGGTCACGGTGGCGTGTAATCTGCCGTATCTCGCCCACATCTCGTTCCAGCGGTCCTTCAATCCGCTGGACCACCATGTGATTCAGGAGATTAAGTACTATAAGAAGGATATCGAGGATAGGCATATGTGGAGAAACAAGAGGAGTAAGGCTAGGCAGAAGACCAAGATCGGGTTTTCGGCTAGGGTCGATGCCAAGATTCGGCAGTTGAAGGGGAGATTGCAGAAGAAGTACTCGTCGATGAGTAGCAATGGTGCGGTAGCACAACAAACATGATACTTTTTTTTGCAATGTAGAGTTTTTTTTTTTTTTTTTTTTTTTTTTGGGTTTCGGGTTTTCGATTTGGGATATTCTTGATTCATTCTTGGTGTAATTTGTGGCTAGTGTAGCTAGGGGGGGAATTTGTGAAGCTATAAGATGTAAGGCTTGTTTGTTTGTATGTAAAAAAAGAAATTGTAAAATCATCATATGATAAAAAAATTGTGAAGAGAGTAGGGTGTGCATGTTTTGCCTTGTTTCATTTTTCTTGTACTCTTATGTTCTTTGAATACTCAAATTTGAATATCTGTGTTCATATGTAGAGTTGGAAGCTAAATCAAAAACTATTTGATGTTCGATTTGAGATCGATTGTTAAGAGTTCGTTTGAGCTCGATTTGTTAACATAACAAATTAAGTTTGAATACATATTTTCGTTCGATAAGTTATGTGTTGGCACCAAATTTCGAGACATGAGATTAGGGGTGGGAACGAGCCGAGCTCGGGCTCATTTTTTTTTTTTTTTTTTATTATTATTTAATTTTTTATTAAAAAATATTTATAGGAAAATGAAAAAAAAATATAAAATAAATAATAAACTCTAGTTATATTTTTTTTCTATAATTATTATAATATTTTATATTATTATGAATTATCTAAGTAATATAGATTTGTTTCTATTTAAATACTATAAATATTTATTATTATAGAGTATTTACTATTTAGTTAATAATAATAATAATAATAATAATAATAAGAATAAGAATAATATATATATATATATATATATATATATATATATATAAAATAAAAATAAAAAAAAAGACAGCTCGCGAGCTGGCGAATAACTAAATTTGGGCTCGAGCTCGAAAAACTCAAGCTCGAGTTCGAGCCTTTGTCGAGCCGGCTCGTTTACCACCCCTACATGAAATCTTGTTTATTAAGATTGACAATGATTTTATTTCAGGTAATTATTATGAAATTTATTATATAGTACGATTTTCAGAGATAGTTTTTTTAGTACTTTGTGCATTTCCTTGTAAATGTTTCAGATTAGGAAAAAATATTTATACTCATCTAAATTAGGCCGAAACTTATTTTTCGTGCCTACGTAAATTTTATACTTGTTGGATTTACTATTTTATGTAGTTTTATTAGTTTTATATGTTATTTATATCTTAAATATATAAAGTTTTATGTGTTCAAAATATTTTGATAATAATTAATTTAAAAATAAATAAATAGAAACAAAAGATGAAAGGAATTATATTTAAAAATTAAAAGTTGCCCATAGTCCTTTAGCTTGTTTGTTGGCGAATCGGTGGGGCGAAATACGACGTCGTATTACTGCTGAATGTTGATAGCTTAAAAACTAAAAGGAAAAAAGAAAAAGAAAAAGGAAAAGGGAATATCGAAAAAAATTAGTGGTATTTCTTTACATAAATAAATAACAATAATAATAATAATAAATAAATAATAAATAATTATTTATTGGTATTTGGTGCTGCTACCTATATGCTAAGGTGTAAAGCCAAAAAAACAATCTGCGTGTTATCGATTAGATCGAACACCACTGATTGAATTCCTCGGTGTTTCGTATGAAATGCCGATTCCTTCTTCTCTCTCTCTCTAGAATTCCGCACTTTTTCACCTTGATTTGATTTTTTTTTGTTTTTTTTTTTAATTTGACTTCGTTACGGAAGGATCGCGGCGGGGGGAATTAATCGTGAAATTGAATGGAGCCGCGCGTGGGTAATAAGTTTCGTTTGGGTCGGAAAATTGGGAGTGGCTCTTTTGGAGAGATCTATCTAGGTATGTTTTTTTTTTTTTTTTTTTTTTGTAATCTTCTAATGTAATTAATTTGTATATTTTTGTTTTTTTTTTGTCTGATTTTTTTTTTGGTAATTGTTTGTGTTTTGCAGGTACTAATATTCAGACGAATGAGGAGGTTGCTATTAAGCTTGTAAGCAATTGAAATTCCTTATTTTGCCCCCTCTAATTTTGTTTTGTTTAGTAATTGTTTGCTTTTTCATTGAAGGGTTTGTGGGTAAATTTTTTTCCTTTTTTTCACATTGTGAACTGTTTTCAGTATTTATTGCAATTGATGTTCAGAAGATATATTTTCTTTCTGTTTACGGCGAAAATAAATTAGATATAATGGCATGAATTTGTGGTTGTATAAACATGGGGCTTTCTTTTTCTATTGGATATTGGTTCTTCTGACATTGGTTCTCTGAGATATGGACATTTCAAAAATGGTAAACATGTAGGTGTTAATATCGTGAAGACTACTCCCTGATCTTGTTATCGTGGGTTTTTTTCCTTGTAGAATTATGTAATTACATATAACGTGGAACTGATGATTAGTTTACCTGCCACTCACCGTTTTTTGTTTTAATTGAGCTTCATGTAGATAGTCTTTCGTGTAATGAAACTGCTGGGAAGTCCATCTTGTTTCGATTTCTCCAACAAATTTTACTGGAAACACTTGCCATGCTTTTGTCCCCGTTGTCTATGCACTTCCTTCATATAATTCCTTGAACAATATGCTCTCTACTCTTGTTTCCATGCATTAATATCTTTTACAATTGTTTGTTGCTCATTTACTTGGAAAACAATTCAACTATCTTCAGGAAAATGTCAAGACAAAACATCCTCAGTTGCTCTACGAGTCAAAGTTGTACAAACTACTCCAAGGAGGAAGTAATAATCTTTCTTTTTTTTCAAGTTTTAGTTGCTAGGTGTTCTTTTCGTTTTTTTTAAGGGTTCTAAATGTGGTAATTTCCAATTGTGGTAGCTGGAATTCCAAATGTCAGATGGTTTGGGGTTGAAGGAGACTATAATGTTCTCGTGATGGATTTATTGGGACCTAGTCTGGAAGACCTGTTTAACTTCTGTAGTAGTAAGCTGTCTCTAAAGACTGTTCTCATGCTTGCGGATCAGATGGTATGGTATTCTGTTTGCTTGTGCTTTTGGTCAAGATCTTGGTCAATTTCATGTTTCATAATGTACTGAAAATGTCAATTTTATTTTCAGATCAATCGGGTAGAATTTATTCACTCTAAATCTTTCCTGCATCGAGATATTAAGCCCGACAATTTTCTCATGGGTTTAGGGAAGCGTGCAAATCAGGTATCCACCCTTTTCCTTGTTTTGATTTTCCAAATTTTTGTGCTGTTTTGGTTTTAAAATATTTGTCGAATCAATGACTCTATCAATTTGACCGGTAGGTTTATGCCATTGATTTTGGACTTGCCAAGAAATATAGAGACTCCTCAACTCATCAGCATATCCCATATAGGTAAGCTGTCTTCAATAATGATACCTTCAAAACATGGATCTTCAGTATGTAGTTAGGCTCTCATTGTGACTTCTTTGTAAAATTTCTATGATATATTCAAATTCATATTGTATTTTGATCAGCATAATTCAGCTATATTATACTGTTGAATGCAGAGAAAATAAAAATTTGACTGGAACAGCCAGATATGCAAGCATGAATACGCATCTCGGCATTGGTATGCATGTGGTCTCACGACATATCACTTACTCTTTTGACATTTGAGATTAAAAAAAATGATATCTGACGAAGTGTTGCTTTCATTTCTGATTTTGCTCCACTGCTTTGACCAATCATAGAACAAAGTCGCAGGGATGATCTAGAATCACTTGGATATGTTCTCATGTACTTCTTAAGAGGAAGGTGTGTAGATTCTTCTGGCTTTTTAGCCTACTTTATTTCAGTTCTTGTGAAACCTCTACTCATCCCTCGAAAAAATATGTAGCCTTCCGTGGCAAGGACTGAAAGCTGGAAATAAGAAACAGAAGTATGAGAGAATTAGCGAGAAAAAAGTTTCAACTTCCATAGAGGTAATTGAAATTTTCACACTGCTCTTGGATTTCAGTATATTCAATCTTTCGCAAAAACTGATTCTGAAATTTAATATATTTCTCAGGCTTTATGTCGCGGCTATCCCACTGAATTCGCTTCTTACTTCCATTATTGCCGCTCACTTAGATTTGACGATAAGCCAGATTATGCTTATCTGAAGAGAATTTTCCGCGACCTTTTTATTCGCGAAGGTTTTCAGTTAGACCAAGTGTTTGATTGGACTATTTTGAGATACCAGCAGTCACAGCTAGCCAATCCTCCATCGCGTGCCCTTGTGAGTAACTTCAGTGTTTAGGCTTTTACCTGCTTTACTTCAAAAGAAGCAAACCTGATGAGTTTTATGACAGGGTACTGCAGCTGGGACAAGTTCTGGGATTCCACATGCTAATATTGACAGACTATCAGGTGAATTTCGAGCATTTATTCGAGTGCTTTTCTTTTAGCCTGGCTCACTCGCTATCACGTGTAGGCTGAATTAAATGATTTCTATAATTGTTATACAGGTGGCGATGAGGGTAAAGCCGCTGGTTGGGCTGCAACTCGTGGGAGAAACTTATATAATTCTGGAAATTTGTCTAGGCAGAAAGGTCCAGTTGCTACTGATTCTGCTTTGTCTAAAGACGTAAGAACACACTCCATCCCCACAAAACAAAATGCGTTCTTTATTTTAGTACGAGTTGGCCATGAATTATCATGTTATTATAGTCTAAATGGGGTTTTACGATAGTTAAATACCATGGCATGTGAGAGCAGACATTCTTATTACCATGAAATTATTTTACAAGGAAATGAATTATTCAAGAATCTTAGATAGGAGATGGTGAAAAATAAGCACCTTTCCTCTTTCTTACATACTGCCCTTACTTAAAATGACTTCAACTGACTGATTCTTGTTTTTCCCTCTTCAAATATTCATCCAATGTAATGATTTTTGCAGTTATCTAGTTCCAACATTTTCGGGCAGATCGGATCAGCAAGGCGGCCAGCTGTCTCCGGCAGTCGAGATCCAGACATTTCAGGTACTGATAACGACCTTCGACACGCTCGTGACACAGATGGGCCCCACCACAGAAATCTCAGCGATGCACAAAGAACTATGCCAGCATCTTCAAACGATAACAAGCGCTCATCCTCTTCCACCAGAAACCCCCCAAACGTAAAAAATTTCGAATCTACCCTCAAGGGTATGGAGAGCCTCAACTTTGGCAATGACGAGAGAACACATTACTAGCCTCGGATCATAAGATACCTCTTTCTCACTTATTCCCTGTGTAAATATATGCTATATATCTATTTAGCACTGTGGGGAATCTGTTGTTATGTTCAGCAAAGAAAATCTGTCCAAGGAAATTGGAAGAAAGGAAAAAAAAGCACATAGTAAAGAAAGAGAAAGATCATGAAGAATCAAGAAAGATCACTAAACTCGAGGAAACCAAAAAAAATTTCGAGATTGGTGATGTTATATCAGCAGTTTTAAGAAGACTTGGGTGTGGTTACTACCATCTACCACTTAAGATGATGCTTATTTATAATCTTTAGCCTTTTACCTCTTATTTGTTGTACCTCCAATTCTTTTAATTTGCCAATATGATGGCCTGTGTTTTATCAAGCTTTTTTACTCTATAAAGTGCTTATAATTTGATTTCAATTAAGTTTCAACTTTTATTCTAGAATGTCACTTGGCTGAGAAGTTGCATAAAATCATTTGAGATTTTTTGAGCTTTCGTTGGTTTGAAATTTTTGAGCTATTTGAGTTTGGTTTGATAAGCAATCAGAGTTGAGCTCGAGTAACTTGATTTTCTGTTTGTCATTTTCTTTAGTCAAGTTTAAGCTTGTGCATAATTTTATAGCTTATCGAAACGAAAATTTGCGTTCAAGCTTGGTTCGTTATATTAACAAATTAAGCTTAAATAAGCGTTTAACGAATAATCTCGACTCGAGTATTATATTGTGTAATTTGATTCGACTTTTAACCCTAATTTCTATTACCTAGAGCATTATATACCTATTGAAGGTACTTTTAATACTTTATGTAGAACTTTAACAAAGTGTTCGTATGTATCTTTCATTCAATTTTTTTTTTCAATTCAATTTTTTGCCTACTACTCTTATTTCTTCATAGTAGTAGGTAAGCAATTTTGTTAATAATCACAACAAACTTGGTCTAAATTGAATAGTACCCCATGCTGTGATTGACAAGTTGTTTGCATGGGGGGACCCACTAATCAGTCAAATGATTCAAATTGCAAAAGCACATGTTCACACACATTAAAAGTGGAAACTGTCCCATGCCTACCTTACTTGACCCTTAATTTATGCCCAATAACAACATGGAATTATTATCATCTTGTTTTTGTATCTACAAGATAACATGCACTCACTCGGGTAAATTTTATTTTCGTGCAATAGTTTGCAAATTGAATCAGAGTCGTAAAAAATACTGGGCTAATCATTTGTCAATGGCGTTCGAATCCAGACAAATGATTAACACACTCTTTTACTTCACCAACTAGGTCACTTTTCACGGGTCGATATCATATTGTTCCTTGTAGTCTAAGGCGTCGGTTCGTTCACATAATAAGATTGGATAAGATAAAGAGAGGTGGGTGTTTTTTGACTAAATTGCAGACAACTTGCCAACACTTATTAGAACGATCGATCACACTTGATTAACCTAATGTAGTTTGTAAGCTATTACACGAACACCGAACTGAAGTAATGTATTTCGTGTGACTGCATATTCTTTTGTCAATCAATTTTAGGAAAAAAAAATTAAGTATGTTTACATTTAATGCACATGTAATTAATACACAGCAAGCAAGAGAATAGAACTTATCTCATGTGTAATGTGGAAAATATGTTTATTGAGTCATAGTGTAATAGAGTAAGAGTTCTTGATCATCATCATCAAGAATCCCAAAAGATTTCAGACTCTCTAGAAATTTAGTTTCGCCGACGAACCGAAGCTACTGCCTTAAAGAGAGTACGAATTATAATCGATCGGGCACGTTTTCGTAAATATTTATTAATACTCAAAACGCCACAACACATTATTTTTCTTGATAATAATACATAGCATATATATTAATTATTCTCTCTTTGAGCAACTTCTCTCTCTAACTTCCGGTGCTGCAAGTGTTCGGAGGATCGTTCAAGCGACCGAGCATATACGATACTGCCGAGAATACCCTTTTGTAAAACCAAGCGAGATTCGATCGCTCAAAAGAATCCATGAACAACATGGTTGCAAGTATCCTTGATCCATTTGAAGCTTGTTCGAAACGAAGACTTCATTTTACCCTCGACGCCGTAAGCCTTGTAACCAGCAACCCTCTTTTTCCTCTGCAACTCAGGCTGGTCCATGTTTAAGTTCCAGTTCTTCGACGAAGAAGAAGACGAAGAAGCGCTGATGATTCTGCTCTTTTTCATCGTCGTCTTGTTCGAAGATTCCTTATTAAAGCTTTTGTAATAATCAAGATTATTATTATAATCTGAAGTAGTACTGTAACTCCTTAGATCATGCATGCTGCTTGGCTGTGCTTTCACACCTTCCCTACTTGACTTGGATCTTGAATATTTCTCCATCTCTATAATTCAACACAGAGAGAGAGAGAGAGAGAGAGAGAGAGAGAGAGAGAGAGAGAGAGAGAGAGAGAGAGAGAGAGAGAGAGAGAGAGAGAGAGAGAGAGAGAGAGAGAGAGAGAGAGAGATTTGCTTGAAGTTGTGATTGTTGTGGATTTTTGAGCTTTTTTTGTTGTATATGTTCTTCAAGGGAGGGGAGCTGTATATATATGTTCTTCTGGCCTCCTTATTTATTGAAGAAAAAAAATGAAAAACATTTTTATAGTTGAATTTATTTATGTAAATAATAATCAGAAATGCTATTTGCGGTCACAAAATTGCTATTCGCGGTTTATAACAAAACCCTCCAAAACTTTTAAAAATATCATAAAACCCCCCAAAACTGCAAATAACAAAAAAAAACAAAAAAGAAATTCGAAAATTCGAAATCAAGCTTGAAGAAGGGTTGGGCTTCGATTTTTGATGTAATTTCAACTATTTTATGTGTAATATGCAATGGGTAGGTCGATTACGGAACCAATTTCATATTAAAAAGCCCTACAAATCGATTTGTAGGCCTTTTTTTTCGCAAAAAAATGTTCGAACGCCCAAGATGGGCGCCCAAGGCATGTACGAACGCCCGGAAGGGCGTTCGACCCTTAAAAAAAAAAAAAAAAAAAAAAAAAAAATTTGCACTGGACGCCCAACTTGGGCGTGCACTGCATGAATGGACGCCCAAGTTGGGCTTTTACGCGTTTTGGGGGTGTTTTTGGATTTTTTTGAGAAATTTTGGGATTTTAGTGAAATAAAGTATTTTTTGGGGGATTTTGTTGGAAACAGCAAATAGCAATTTTCAAACCGCAAAAAGCAATTCCCATAATAATACACACAAAAAAAAAATAAAAAAATTATATCATATATGTATACTAATAAGTTGGCAGTTGGCACTATCAATTGTGATTTGTGGCACATAAATTTGGTCTGCCACATGTCAAAGTTTGACCATTAAAATTGAAGTACAAATTAAAGGTGAAGTATTTAAAACTTCAAAGTTTCCATGTGATGAACATAACAATGTGTCATCTCATTTTTTTAATAAAAATTAAAAAAAAAAAAAAAAAGATATAGAGAGTTTGTTTTGGGATTGAAGTTTATTTTGTTATATTCCTAATAAATTATCTAATAAAATCAGTTCACTGTCAAATCAATATTAGATAAATATCTTATAACCTAATTTTAGGTATATATTTTGTAACAAAATTAAGTAAATTTCTAACAAATATGCAATTCAATTATGAATTGATTGATCCATAGTGATAATAAACTAAATTTTAGTAGTATCTTGTTTTTCCATACAAGATGAAACTCGGGCTTTTACGTTCATGTACGTTTAAAGGGGAATTGTTTTTTGCGGTTTCAAAATTGCTATTTGCGGTTTCTAACAAAACCCCCCAAAAAAATATTTTATTTCACTAAAACCCCAAAACTTTTCAAAAAAATCCAAAAACACTCTCAAAACGCGTAAAAGCCCAACTTGGGCATCCATTCATGCAGTGCACGCCCAAGTTGGGCGTCCAGTGCAAAAAAAATTATTATTTTTTTTTTTTTTTAATTTTCGAACGCCCAAGATGGGCGTCCAAGGCGTGTAAGAACGCCCGGAACGGGTGTTCGTACACGCCTTGGGCGCCCATCTTGGGCGTTCGAACATTTTTTTGCGACAAAAAAAAGCCCTACAAATCAATTTGTAGGGCTGTTTAACATGAAATTGGTTCCGTAATCGACCTACCCAATGCATATTACACATAAAAGAGTTGAAATTACATCAAAAAATCGAAGCCCAACCCTTCTTCAAGCTTGATTTCGAATTTTCGATTTTTTTTTTTGCTATTTGCAGTTTTGGGGGGTTTTTTGATATTTTTAAAAGTTTTGGGGGGTTTTATTATAAACCGCGAATAGCAATTTTGTGACCGCAAATAGCATTTCTGGTTTAAAGCCATTCGAGTTCGAATCAATCACTATTTAAAATTTAATAAATTCACAACAAAAGGGGGACATAATTGATAGAATAAAAGCTAAAAATAAATATAAATAAGGTTTAATCAAAATTTGGGCCGAAAAAGAATAAAGCAAAGTTACAGAAACTCTCTACCTAAACAGACAATTTTGCATGGCTATCAGTACACTCACACACCAATACCCAAATGCAAACAAACAACCTTTTGCAAAACAGACAATAGGCAAAAAAACCACAAGGAAAAGCAGAATAATTAACTATCTCTAAATAATAAAATTAAAAAAGGGCCCTAACCTTCAACTCAGAAACAAAATCCAAAACCGAAAAAATAAAATAAAAAAAAAAGAACCGAAGCCACCTCACAGAAGATCAGCCACGTTCGATGGAAGCTCCTCAATCACAACATTGTAGAACTTCTGAATATCCCCGAGCATCTTCTCATCCTCAGTCGTCAGAAAATTAATCGAAACACCCTTCCTCCCAAACCGCCCGCTTCGTCCAATACGATGCAGATAGTTCTCAGGCTGAGTTGGCAGATCGTAGTTTATCACAAGCGACACTTGCTGCACATCAATACCACGGGCCAGCAAATCTGTGGTGATAAGAACACGAGACGAGCCGGATCGGAACTCGCGCATGATGATGTCACGGGTGTTCTGGTCCATGTCACCGTGTGTGGCCGAAACTGTGTGGTCGCGGCCCCTCATCTTGTCGGTTAGCCAGTCAACCTTTCGTCTGGTGTTGACGAATATGACGCTCTGGGTGATGGCTAGGGTTTCGTAGAGATCGCAGAGCGTCTCGAGTTTCCAGTCTTCCTTTTCTACGTTGACGTAGAATTGCTTGATACCCTCGAGTGTTAGCTCGTCACGCTTGACCAGGATTCGGACGGGCTTGTTCATGAACTTGCGGGTGATTTCTAGTGCCTCTGGGGGCATTGTGGCGGAGAAAACCCCGACTTGGACTTTGGATGGCAGCAATTGGAAGATGTCGTATATCTGAAAAATAAAAACCGCAAAGAATAATCATATTTCAAGAATTAGTAACATGGTGTTCCCTCCCTTTTTTTCTTTCCTGTTTTCTAGAGAAAGATTCAATTTTTCACCCGAATTACTTCACCTATCATTTTCGCAATTTAACTCAATATTTTCCTTAGAAGAGTTTCTTATTGCAGGATGTATAAACATTATCACATAATATAAACCATCATGGCTTATCAGATTTCAAGAATTAATTACCTAGGGTTCCCTCACTTTTTTTTCCTTTCTTTCCTGTTTTACTAGAAAAAGATTCAATTTTTCACTCGAATTACTGTACCTATCAAGAATTAACTACATCGGGTTCCTCACTTTTTTTTTCCTTTTTCTTGTTTTACTAGAAAAATATCCAATGTTCCACCCGAATTACTATCATTTTCGCAGTTTTACTCCATGTTTTTCTTAAAAGAGACTCTGATTGCAGGATATATAAATAATCTAGTAAATAATCTTAGCATAAAAGAATGTACCTGATCCTTGAAACCACGAGAGAGCATTTCATCAGCCTCATCCAATACGAATATCTTGATGTAGTCAGCGCGAAGTGACTGTCTTCGCAGCATGTCAAACACACGGCCAGGTGTACCGACAACAACGTGGACCCCAGCTGAGAGGATTCGCTGATCCTCACGAACACTGGTCCCACCTACACAAGCATGAACCTTGACACCGAGGTAGTCACCGAGGGCTCTCATAACCTTCTCAATCTGTTGGGCAAGTTCTCGAGTAGGTGCCAAAACCAAGGCCTGGCACTGTGTTAGACTGTAATCGAGCTGCTGCAAGATGCCAGAACAGAAGGTGGCGGTTTTTCCGGTTCCAGATTGAGCCTGTTGAATAACATCGAGTCCCTTGCAGAACGGAACAATGCCTCTTTGCTGGATAGCAGAAGGCTTCTCAAAACCTTTATGACAAAAAGAAAACGTTAATAAAAATTATTATTGAAATTGTTCGAAAACCAAAAAACAAGAGGTTATTGAGAACATACCATAGGCATAAATGCCTCTGAGAAGGTTCTCTTGAAGACCCATGGCGTCGAAACTTTCATGGACCTCATCGTAAGAGGTGAAGAATTCTTGTTGATCAGGTTGAAGTCTGCACCAGAAGATAAAATGAGTTAACTCATCTAAACTATTAAATTGGAAACCATCAATATTTCAATGAATAGTTGGGGGTAAAAACATTTATTGTGTAGAAAACTTACATCTCACTCATCCTTGAGTCATACTGACGAGTATCAAATTGCGATCCTTCTGCAGCCATAACTGCAGTTTTTTTTGGCAGGTCAGTAAAACTATATTGGACAAACTGAATATTCAGTGAAAAAACAGAACAGACAACTGAATACTTATGTCAATAGACTGCTAGTGCTTTATCAAAGCAAACATAAAAAAATATTCAACTGAAGAATATAAGTACACAAAAAATCGACAGTTTTCTAGCCAATGGGAGCAACAAATTTCTTCTTTTTGAAGAAAAATATACCAAAAGAGCCAAACTTGCAAGCCATTTGTTATGGATTACAAGCATTAAACTTCTGTTCTTTTATGTTAGGGGACGAATCGTAGGAGGAAAGGGCTATCATACAACAAGGAAAAGTTCCTAAACAGTAGCCCTTTACCTTCTCCCCAGAGATTCATCACAAGTAGTACCTACTTTATAAGGTTTTAGAACACATAAATAGCTGAATCGATCGAAACATGCTGGACAGAGCGGAAAGGGGTCAAATCTTTTAGGGCAAATAAGACAGAACAAATCTCTTCAATAAATAAGATAAAAAAATCAATCTTTTAACCAAAAAAAAAAATTAATTAAAAAATCCCAAACAATATACCCATCTGAAAAAACTTTCGTGAGATCTTATTCCGTGAGTAATCTAAACAATGTGCGTTCACTATCGTAGTAAGATTAAACATAATTAACTCTCTCACAAATCAAAACATCAAAAATCTACGATATCTAAACAAAGGATAGGAACCCTAAATCACACACAACTTCATACTAATTTTAAGATCCGAGAAAACAAAAGCAAAATCAAACAATATAAATAAAAAAAAACACCCAAATCCCACCATTCGTATCACAAAAACACCAAATAGAAAAACAGATTTACGAAAAATACAAAAACAACACAACACAGAGACGTACGTTCCCAATAAATCGACGAACTAAAAAATCACTGCAAAAAAAAAAGGGGCAGCAAACAGTTGAAGAAGAACAGATCGAACCTTGGAATCAAAACGAAGAAGAGATTGAGAACGATTGCGTAGGTGATTGGTCAAATTGCAGAGCAACTCCTCGGATCTGCGCCGTGGAGTTTTTTGGAGAAGTATTTTTGTGAAAAGAATCGACCTTTGATGCTTCCCTATATATAGTGGGCTTGCCCTCGTCCTATTTTAATTCGTTTTTTTTCCTTTTTTTTGGTGTGTTCCCCTAATTCTATTTCAATTTGGATTGCCTCGATTTATTTATTTTTATTAATTAATCTTGAAATTTGATGATTAGAGATTTATTTATTTCTTTTTTTTTTCCTTTTTTTTTGGTGTGTTCCCCTAATTCTATTTCAATTTGGATTGCCTCGATTTATTTATTTTTATTAATTAATCTTGAAATTTGATGATTAGAGATTTATTTATTTCTTTTTTTTTTCCTTTTTTTTTTTGGTGTGTTCCCCTAATTCTATTTGAATTTGGATTGCCTCGATTTTTTTTTATTAATTAATCTTGAAATTTGATGATTAGAGATTTATTTATTTAATATACATGTAGGATTGTGAAAAAGGAACAAAAAAACAATTACTATTCATTATTTATTCTTTTATTATTATATAAGTATATTTTAATAATAATAATATAAAAAAATTAAAATGAGCTTCGGCTCGAGTTCGTCAAACTTGGAACATACTAAAGTATTATGAGCGTGCGATTTATATATTTTTCAAAATTACAGAACTAATAATTAAGTGCATTTTTTTTATTTTTTTAAAATATTTATTAATTTTCTTAATATACTTGTGCCGATTTATATGTTTTTCAAAATTACAGAACTAATAATTAAGTGCATTTTTTATTTTTCAAAAATATTTATTAATTTTCTTAATATACTTGTGCTGAAACCTTTAACGGCGTGGGTGGTAATAAAGTTATTAGGGTAAATTACAACCACCTCTGTGATGTAAATTCTATTTACGAGAAAAACCCTAATTTTGAGAAATTACATTCAACACATTACGGTTTGTAAATTTTTTACATCCACCTCCTACAAAAGTACAAAAGGGTGTTAGTATAAGAAATCTACAAGTTGAAGGGGTTGAATGTGATTATGGAAACACGAGGGGTTCTTTTGTAAATAGACCTTACCTTAGAGGGGCAGATGTAATTTACCCAAGTTTTCCTTGAGTGATGGCTCTAATTTAACACACAACAATAGAGAAAACTTGTAGGACATTACTCACATTAGGCAAAATGCAAAGAAAATGTGGATCTCAAGAAAGAGAATGAATGAAGTCAAATATTTCAAGAATTGCCATCTAACCACCAAAATTTACACCGGTAAAAAAATCCTATAAGGTAAGCTAAAACGGAGAAGAAAAAAATGTACAACTCTCAACCGGTGCCTTGTTTTCCACTAAAAAAAATCGGATGAAATATGAAACGAATCTCGACCCTAGATATGAAACTTCGACTGAAAAGATTCATCGCTACATAAGCTCTAACCACCAGTTACCTACTAGCTAATCAAAATTAGTCTCCATCTATATCGAAGAATCGTTCTCTCTCGTTTTCCTTTTTTCAAAAAAAAAATATAGTATTTCCAATAAACGGAACTCTAAACCTTGATGGTAACTTCAGATGGCTAACCTGAAAAACCAAAAAAAACCAAAAACGAAAACAAAACATGAATAAAGGAAGCCATAATTGTTCACAAGTTATATATCCTATAAAAAAAAGGAAAATTCAATGCTTACTTTTAGAACTTTTGTTGTTTCCTTTATCATCCCCTGATATATAAGAACCAAATGAGCAAATTTTTCGACGGATCAAATTGCTATACAATACAAAAAAAAAAAAAAAGGAAAAAAAAAGATGAAGACTTACATTCGTCCAAAATCTCTTTTAAACTCCTGAGCAGTACATCTGCATTGTCAGCTATTAGTGAGAGCTTTTCAGCCTCTTTAACTGCTTCAGCTGCCAAAAAAGATTTATATTCCGCCTCAGCAATTAAGTCGGCGGCTATTTTAGCTGCCTCTTCCACTGTATCAACTATGATTGTCGGTGTGGAATCTTGTAGTGGTCTTGATCTGACATCATGCTGCTGTGGCGTAGGTGTTTTGGTGCCCCTTTCTGCTTCTTTAATCTTGTACCCTTTTGGAACCTGTCCGATATTTATGCAAAAGCACCATACATCAATAAAAATTGGAAAAAAACAAACCTAAGTTCCTCAAGTGTTATGCTGATCCTAATCTAGTGTAATTATATACCACAACACAGGGTCATGCAAGAATAAACTCACTGATGCAAGGGACTAATTATTTTTAATTACTATTATATATATACACACACACACACACAGAAGTGCAACGTGGTGATTAGATTACTGTCTTTGACATGTTACCCAAGTAGATTGATTTTTAAAGAAATTCAGAGTGGAGATATAGAAGTATTTTAATTACATGGCAAGTAGCTGAGCATGGCATTTTAATTCACATACCCTCTCAATGGTACCTTGCAGAAGAAGTTTCCTCAGCTTTGAACTGATTAACCTTCTAGAGCTTTGTGGAATGTTGTACTTTATTCTGTCAATTATAAGTCTTTTCACAATCAAACATTGATATAGAATCTTGTTACTGGAGGATTAACCAGATTTTTTTTGCCTTAATCCAAAAAACCGAGAGAAGGCTAGATAAGAAAACAATTTGGTCTTCAGCAAGAAGCTGACTCGTTCCTAAAAAACCCGGAAAGATACTAAGAATCATTCATATGCATGCATATGAATGCCCAGCTGTAAACAACTCATTGCTCAGCATTAAATCTTTCGAGTTTTACTCACTTTCAAATGGATAAATCATTGCACTGAAAATCTATCCTTCCCCTTACCTTTAAAAACATGAGTGTTTACTTTTTGGTGATACCTATCATACCCCTATCAGTAAGTTAAAAGAAATGGATTAACTAGGTAAAGTGCGATTGATGATACATTCAAATACATTATAGTCTCCATATTCCTATTATCATGTCAACGTTGAAACTTTGCAATAATTTGTATTGTTTAAATTTTTAGTAAATATTTATTTATATTAAACATTATTAAATATTATAATAAACATTATACAAACCACGTGCAAATGCACAAGTGTCAATTGCTAGTGTACTACAAAGCACGGCCAATCAGTAGTAGCTACCAATTTATGCAAATACAGTGAAGATAGGACATTGAGGGATGAATAGAATATCAATCTAACCTCGACAAACCCCATGATTGCATCACAATCAGATCCATCACAGTCTTTCATTGATGAAAGTGCTTCGAGTACCATCTTGTCACTGAAATACAAGAAAGAAGAATCACATCTAATTGCAAGAGAAAAATCGTATGTATACGCAATCCTAATCAAGAAAAAACAACGTAATAGCAGAACAGAGTGTATCCTCCAACAATACACCATGTGCAAAAAGCAAACTGATAAGGAAAATGACGTAGATTAAAGAAGAACAACTGAAATATATGCACGGTCGTTTCACAAACCAAAGCAATGGCAGAGCAATGGGGTCTCAAGCAATACACCGTATGCTAAAAGCAAACTAGTGAGGAAAAATGATGTCGATAATGAAGAAGTGAAATGTATACACATGGTTTCACAAACACATTGTCGTAATCTAGGGTACTATTTCATCTACATCTGCATGAGGGAAACAACTGAAAAACATAGAGGCAAAACATACGTTAGGGCATTATCGACATTTGGAGGGCTGTGGGGAAGCCTGTCATTAACAGTTTCTTTCGAAACAAATACAGATGGTGAAATTTCAGTCATGGGTGTCACAACATTGGTTACAGTTGCCTTTCCTCTGGGAGTGACTGAACTAGCTCCAAAGCCACCGCTAACGCTCAGGTTCCGCCATTTGTCCTAGGAGAACGAGAAAAATTCCGATTAAATACACCAAACAAAAGTAAAAACAATTAGCAAAAAAGATCCACTAATCTCCAGTCTTCGAAATTCAAGCAACACACACACACACACACACACACACACACACGAATTTTATAACAAACAATTGAAGAATAATTTAGAGATACAACCAATACAATTCAAGGTGAAGAATCATATCAAAAAAACAGTGTTATAAATAGCATAAACGGCATAATATGATGATCACGTGCATAGAGGGAAAAACACCCCCACTGATATGGCCGTATAACACAAAGAGAAATAGAATAACTCGATCGATTTCAACATTTGACAGCCATTGTACATACAAAAATACAGTCAATTACACTATTAAAAAAAAAAAAAAAAAAACAAAAACAAAAACAACCAACGCAATTACGGTGAAGAGTGAAAAAAACGGCGTAAAATCACGTTACCTTGAGATCAACATTGGAACGATTAGAGAGTTTCTCCTTGAATTCCGGATCTAGGAGAATATTCTTCCACTTTCCGGTACCGTGCTTTCCCACCCCTGCCCTCAGCGTCTCCTCCTCCTCCGCCGTCCACTTGAGCTTTTGATTCCCCATCGTGCGCTTCCTTACCCCGCTAAAAAAATCACCGAAACGACTGAATGAAATCGCTGTAATTGCAGCGGCGGCGGCGGCGGTATGACAGAGTGAACTCTGAATTTCTGAGGGCTTTACCACCGGTGAACCTCGATACGGACCCTTGTTTATATATATATGACGAGAAGACGCGAGTGCTGTGATGATAATTTGATTTCTTCCAATCAGTTATATTTATTCGCAAAATTACCACAAAATCCTACTTATGATCTCATAAAACCCCGTGTTAATTCACTTAATTACAAAAGGGGACATCTACTTTTATTTTTAGTTTTACAAATAAGTCCCTCATTTACACATTCATTACTAATCAAGGCAACCTACTTTTTTGTAACAAAATTACCGCTAACTGGGGCTGACAATTGGGCCATGTGAGCCGAGTTTGGGTCGCCTCAAGCTCATATGCCATCGGGTCTCATTTCTATAGGCTCAAACTCGGTTCACATATTTTTTTGCGTTTGAGATTATATCGAGCTTATATCGGATAATAAACAAATTACATATATTATAACTTTGAATTCGAACATGTTAAAAAAACATTGCAGCCAAAGAGCAAAATCTAGAATATTCATTAAAAATCAAAATGAGAAAAAAAAAACATAGTTTGTTCATTAAAACAAATGAAGTTTAATGTTGCCGATATTTAATTCTTAATTAATTATATGAAAAAATGCATTAAGTCAAATATGGAAAAAAAATAAAAATAGAAGCAATTCTAAATGTCCTTCTAACTCTTTTCGAAAATCTTGAGACCTGCAAAAAAAAATACATATTATATATATATATATATATATATAACATTTTATTATTAATTTAGTCGGACTTTATTCGGGCTCACCCATTGTAGGCTCAAACTCGGTCCAACTTACAATTAATCGGGATCAATTCAAACAAAATCGGGCTGAGCAATCAAGTTTCGTGTAGGCCCGACTCAATTGACGGTTTGTCGGTCCTATCACTAACCACTTAAACTAGGGGTGGAAATCGGAGTGGAATTTTTGTATTCTGCCAATTCCAATAAAAGAAAAATATCCACATTTAAAACTGCATTTTTTATTTTGATTTCCGAAGTTTCAAGTTCCGAATTTTTCAACCAAATGCATAAAAGACATTCAACCCGATGACGTGGATGAACATCCCCCGATACCAAGAGCTATCAAAAAAAGACATATTGAGTGGGGCAATTGGCTATGGAAGAGAGAACCGAAGACGAAGATGAACAACCGAATGTTGACCATCGCATCGATGATGAAGATCCAAATGCAATATAGATTTGTATTACTTTCATGACATCGACAATGAAGATCCAGTGTGTATATGTTCGAAACCATAGGCTCTCTGCCATACCAACACCAACCAGCCAGGAAAAATCGAAACATGTCATTATGTTGGTAAAACAATTAGACGAAGTAAACCTGGAGTTAGAGGCTGAAGAGAAACATAAAGAAAAACAAAATGAAGAATTGTCACGCCTAAAGTCCGAAAATTCGCACATGGAAGTTGGGGAGGGGCAAATATAAGTTGACTCAACTCGACAAAAGCTCGAGTTCGTCATTTTAATTGTTCATGAGCTCGCGAACATGCTATGCGAGCTTTTTTAAATTTTAATCCTATTTAATACACACACACACACACACACACACACACACACACACACACACACACACACACATATATATATATATATATATATATATATATATATGGATAGTATAAATAATAATAATATAAGAAATAAAAAAATTTAAAACATTAAATTTCAGATCATTTTTCATTTTATAACTTTTTTTTACTAACATAAAAATAATTTATAATAATAATAAATAAATAAAAATATTAGTATAAAAATAAACATAATACAAAAAACAAAAAGAGCTTGAACTCGAGCTCATCAAATTTATCGAACTCGACTTATTTACACCTAATTTCTTGGCAATTTTAATTTATCCTAAACATTAACATAAATTTGTAAAAGTAAAACTAAATAGCCCCATCATTGGACCTAAGGGATCAATTTGATTAAATTAAGGGGTAATAATTAAAATTCTTTGAAATTGACCCGTATATATATATATTTTCAAGGTTTCAGCCCCTATTTTACACGCACATCACACAGTTACCCTCTGCACCTTTCTCTGCTGCCCAAAAGCCACCCAGAGAAATAAAGTACCCACAATCGATCAACCTAACCATTTCTGAAGAACAGCGGATTTTTCTTCATGACTTACGCCGCAAGGATTTTCCATCACTCTAAGAAGGTGATCCGCATGTTGTTATGATTTGTTAATTTTCGTTCTTTTGTGATGGATGCACGTGATTTTTTTTTCCTGTTCAATTCCGTACTGAGTCTTCCATTTTGTACGATGAATTGGTTAAATTGATTTAGGGATTTTTAACGTTTTTTCACGAGATATGAAGGAGTTCTATCTGAAATGATTTAGGTCATTTCTTTGGGGATCTGATTTGCTCAATTTGAGCTGTATTCGTGTTTAGAAGTTTAAGCAGACAATGCGGTGTAAAAAAATTATGGATCGGCGAGTTTGCTTAGTTTTTTTTGCTAAATCTCCGACTTCTTATTGATTATTGCCGCCACTGCGAAATTAAGGTCCGATCGAGCTTTTTATACGATAATTGAATAGCCCCTGTACGTGTGATGTTTTGATTTGTATGCTCTTTTCGAAGAATATCTTGTGCTGTTGGGTTGTAACTTAAATATGTGAAATTGTTGAAATTCTTATGCGGACTCATGGTAAAAGGATTGTTGAAGTTATTCTTTTCTTTTGGTTATTGGTGGGGAACTGAGTTTGTTGCCAGCGTTTTATTTTGATCCTGATGAAGGTTGACAATGTTGTATGTAATTTTTTGGTTGGATGGTAATTTATCTTAAATTAGAGAGCACAAATTTATTGATTAGATGAATGGGTAATTGGCATTTTGCACCCTCTAAATACCAATGATTGATAGAACGCATCGTTAAATTTCACTTTCGACATTTTATTTAACTTGGTAAATGGTTATGGAAGTTAAGGATGAATGAGAGTGGATACAGATTACGAGGAATTCTAGCTGGAGGAGCATATTTGTTGGACCTGAGAGTCTTATAAGTGAGACGGAGATGGATTTCATATCAGGTGGTTTCAGGAAGAGAAGTTTTGGAAATGAAGTAGACGAAGACATGAAATAACCCCTGACATCTTGGTCAAAATGAGTTCTCAGTACAAAGTTCCCCTGGGTGAAGTTAGGTGCAATGTGCCAAGCAATTTCCATTTGAGTGGTCTAAAATGGCAAAAAAATGAAATTATGTATAGTTAGAGTGGGTAAAATACCAATTATCGTATTAAATTTGGCTCCCTTCGGATAGATTTGTCCATATTAAAAGTTTCAAACTGTTTGGTGAATCATTTATCTTCTAGTAAATTGTGAATGAGCTTATTAACTAATTTCGGCTAGCGATGATTTTATTGATGCTCTGTAAATTACTGCAAACTGAGAATTTAGCTTAGTAAACCAAGGGAAAACTTTATGCTTTCCTTGGTGATTTATGATGAAGAATTTTATCTTCTCGTTAATGACAATTTTTGTTTTTGTTTTACTCACTCTACAGCTTAGACATACCCACTATGTCACACAAAAAGATCATGCAATTTTTGTACGCTGGTTCACCAATTATGCCAGGCCATCCGCTGATAAACTAGATGGTAAGTGGCGGAGCAATCTTTTATCTTCATTTTTAGGGAAAGGGTTTTTTATCCCATGAGTAGTTCTCCGGGTTACTTTGTTCTACTTTGAATTATGGCATGAAATTTTGGGCCTAATCCCGTCATTCTTTGTTTATATATTCTGATTCTGTAAGTTCTTCCATGAGTTAATCGTGTTTATAAAACCCAGATGTGTATGTATGTATGGATTTGGTTGTGGGGGTTAGGGTCTTTGTGCTCGCGCGTGTGTGTTGGTATATCTGCGTTTGCCTCTTGCATATTCAATGCATTTTCTGTTGTGTTTCAGATATTTCAAGGTCCAGCCAACATGGTTTTGGACCTGGAGGCAAGCATGGCATTTCAAAGTTATCCAGCGAGGGTTGTGTTAGTCCCAGTCACCTATCAGTGAATCCTCGAATGGTGATACTGAATTTACTCTTTAACTATTTACATGCATGCGTGGTTTGAGAATTCATATTTAAAATGTTCAAATATTTGTGAAGATGTCAACTCTGAGAATGGATAAGAGAAATGCCTTTTGGACTGCCAGAGGGGTGCATTCTCCAGCAATAGGAATGGTGTATAAAAGGTTCTCATATATATGTATATATACACATTACATACCTAGCATCTCTTTGTTTGTGTAAAGTATATGTTGATTTACCGGTGCCCTGTTTAAATATGTCTTTGTTTCCAGCCAACAGCAAACTTCGAGCAGAGGCTTTTCTACTTCAGGTTAGTATAACATTAAAATCCTTCCTGTAAAATCATAATTTAAGTCCAATGAGTCATCTTAAGACTGATGGTTTTGATTTGGAAGCTAAGAGTGGATCTGATCACTGCCTCGCCATATTTATAAGTTTCATATTTTCATTGTTTCATTCCTCCATTACGTATTCAAAGATTAAGGTTTCTAGTAAAAGTCAGTCCTGCTGTTACCTATTGCTTTTAACCGAGGTAATTTATCTACGGCTAACTTCTTACTATCTTTCAGGGCTGCCACCACACCAAGAGATTGGGATGCCTTCTCTGTCACCTACAATGACTGAGGTATGAGTGTTTCTAAAGTTCTAATAATCTCCTAGTTGTTTATCAGCTACTTCGTACTATTTTTTTTTGTTTTTTCGTTATGTAGGGAAATATTGCAAGGTGGTTGAAGAAAGAGGGCGATAAAGTCGCTCCTGGAGAAGTACTTTGTGAAGTGGAAACTGTAAGTCATTTTGATTGTCTTTGACTTTGTAGCCTTTTTACTGAAATATATATCCCATATTGTAATGAAATCAATGTCAAAGTTTTGCGCCCACTTGATGTTTTAAGGATAAAGCAACAGTTGAAATGGAATGCATGGAGGAAGGATATCTGGCAAAAATTGTGTGTGGTGATGGAGCAAGCGGGATTAAAGTTGGTGAGGTAAATACCTGATAGTCTGATACAGTATTTAAACTAATTGGTATTCACACTATTTATTTCTTGTTTTGTAGTGCTTAAGGGCACCTCTATCGACTTTATGAACTTGCTTGAGATTCATTTTCCTATCAGTTCCTTCAGTTTTACATACCGCCAATATTATATCCTTATATGGTCTCATCAAGCCCTCATTTCGTTAGATAATTGTGCTATGCTACTTTCATATCCTTAACTTTGGTCATTTGATTTGTGCTGGTTTAAAGAAATTTCGTTTCTTGGAATAGACGAACCTTACCAAAATGAGAAAGTTTGGTTCTAGAAATTGGATTTGGCTTCTCATTTTGTCAGGATATTCCATGTTCCTTGTTTCCAAGCTGTACAATATAGATTCGATGGCTAGCGAGTGCTGGCTATCGATTCATGTAAACTGAAATGAGAATATTACCACAACTGAATCATGGCAGGCATTTACCTACCAAACACTAGAAACAATAGGTAGATTAATCGCATACTAATTTTGAGTTTTGGTCACAAAGATAATTAGTTTTCAAACCATGGAAATGCCACCTGTAATTAACTTTGATGAATGATAAGAAAATCATATGATTTTTTCTAGGTTATTGCCATAACTGTCGAAGAAGAGGAGGATGCCGTGAAGTTTAAGGACTACTCTCCTTCAACATCAGATGCTGCACCTTCAACCGAAGCGCCATCTGCTCCAACTCCACCAAAAAAAGAGGTTTCAGAATTGCCTGCTTCTTCACCAGAGCCTAAAGTTTCCAAGCCCAGCCAACCATCTCCAGCTGGCGATCGCATTTTTGCTAGTCCTCTTGCCAGGAAGTTTGCCGAAGATCACAATGTAACTTATATGCTCTAACTATAAGTATTACTCATTTATTTAACCTTGGATAATTGGACTTTGTTTAATTTCTCTCTGACGTGGTGTGCTCCATGCATGATTATAAATTCAGGTATCTCTTTCAAACATAAAAGGTACTGGTCCTGATGGCCGCATTGTGAAGGCTGATATTGAAGATTATCTTGGTATTTCTCTATCACTCTTTGTTCAAGTTGATTGATACACTTTAATGTATTTGTCACGTGGTTAATTTTCTAAACAATTTACTTAAAGCTCTTTTCTGTTTCTGCAGCTTCAGGTGTTAAGGAAGTTTCACGACCTGTGAAAGTTGACACAACCACCTCTTCTGCTATAGATTACACCGACATTCCACACACGCAAATTAGAAAGGTATATTTTGGGCATGGATGTCACATTCTCATTCTTGGCATTTCTCATCTTGCTGGCACAAATACCTTCAGTTTATAAGGTTTAGGGTTACTAATGGTCTTAGTTTGTTTGTCCTAAGTTATCCTAAGTTGAGAATTTATTTTCAATTCTTCATCGAGTATAAGAAAGTATTGGAGGTTCAGTGGTGCTGATATGAATTTTATGTAGATATTCAAGAAAAGATATCATCAACGAGTTGTTTATTGGTATCTTTTGAGTTGTGTTACAGCTAATGTATTACCATCAATGACAGGTGACAGCATCTCGGTTATTGCAATCAAAACAAACCATTCCGCACTATTACCTAACTGTAGATACACGCGTGGACAAGCTTATGGAGTAAGTTTTGATCCCTCTGCTAATGAATACTCAAACTCACAAAATTTGTCTTATTTACCTAAATTATACACTTTCTGCAGATTACGTGGGAAACTGAATTCACTACAAGAAGCATCAGGTGGTAAAAGGATATCTGTCAATGATCTAGTGATTAAGGTATGAAACGACATACCTATATGTAAAAAACAAGATGGACGCTTTAGTTTGCTGTGAAAACGATCACTTGACAACTATTTTATTGCAGGCTGCTGCCTTGGCTCTTAAAAAAGTTCCTCAGTGTAACAGTTCATGGACAAATGATTCTATTCGCCAGTAAGTATGCATAACAATGCAATTAGTTGCTTAACCAGAACAGGGACTAAACTGCAACGTCTTCTGTTCAATGCAGGTATCACAATGTGAATATTAATGTTGCTGTGCAAACAGAAAACGGATTATATGTGCCTGTTATAAAGGTAAGACATGTTTTCAGTCATGCTAATTATATCACATCTAATTTTCACCTTAACTATAACAACCTGAATACGTAACTACCTTTTGACTTCTTTTTATGCTAAAATTTGTAGGATGCCGACAAAAAAGGTTTATCGAAAATTGGGGATGAAGTTAAGCATTTAGCTCAAAAGGCAAAGGAAAACAGCTTGAAACCTGAAGATTACGAGGTATTTTTATTTATTTTTAATTTAATAAGCTTTTGGAAGACTTAGTTAGTTGCTCATGGTACAAGTTCTTAATGTCCTGTTTCCAGGGCGGTACGTTCACTGTTTCCAACTTGGGAGGACCTTTTGGCATCAAGCAATTTTGTGCCATCATTAATCCACCCCAATCAGGCATTTTAGCTGTTGGCTCAGGTAATCTGGGTTTTTCCTTTCCTTTTTCCCTACCTTTTACGAGTTATAATTTATTTAATACAAAATTTGTAATATTCACTGCTTAAACCTGTATGAGTAGCTGAAAGGAGGGTGATACCTGGTGCGGGCCCTGAACTGTATGATTTTGCTTCGTTCATGACCGTGACATTAAGTTGTGACCATCGTGTTATTGATGGTAAGTAGTCTATTATAAATGCAATATTAGATTAAGAAAAATAAAATAAAACGCAATACTAGTCGACTATCATGGAACTAATTACATACTGACCCTAATTTGATATTTCGTTCAGGTGCAATTGGAGCAGAGTGGCTGAAGGCCTTCAAAGGCTACATTGAGAATCCAGAGTCGATGTTGCTGTAAACTGGTTTTATTACGTTCCAAAGTTTGTCAAAATTCTTGCTGTTTTAACCACCAACTCACATGAAGATGGGATGCGATGAGTAGGTGTTTTCGAGTTTATCTATGCCTGTTTTTGTATCTATATTCTTCCTTTTTTTCCGCCGCGGAAACTAGTCCTTGAGAATAGCAACATTTTTCTTCCGAATAAATCTGTGCTCGTGTAGAGAGAGTCTAGAAGACCTCATCTTCTCAGCATGAAAAAAAAGTTTTACATGCCCAACATTTTTCTCTGCCATTATAAAATAACACATTTGTTGAACCAAAAATCGGAAGTTGACTACATTAGTATCAAGTTATTTTTGATTTTTCTTTTTGTTGCTCAGCTAAATACGAATGTCGTCATCATAGTGTAATTTAATTTATACTACAGATTGCAGCAATTGTGTTCTTGATAATAAATTCCGAATTGAGGAGGGGTATTATTCTTTAGCTCTTGAAAATTTACAGTATAGATACTATTCGACATGTTAATCGAGATATATAGTCACAATGTTATTTGTAAAAAACATGCTGTTTCAAGACTCCACAGAAGTTTGATACCATGATAAACAGGCTTAAAATTACATTTCTCCCCTTAATATCAAGAACAAGAAATCTATCTGTATGGAAAAAAAGAAAAGAAAAAAACATGACAAAAACTTGCATACTTTGGCCATTTGAGCTGTCTTTCCTGCTTCACATATATACACAACTCTGGTCAAGATCAGATTATAATGTAAAAAATCCCGATTGTGGCCACATGCGAATATCTTGCAATGGAAATGCATCACGAAAAACGAACGTCTCCACCTACTGCGTTGCAGACTATCAATACAATTCCCAAGAAGGAAACCATTTAGACTGAACTCGACTATTATGAATCACTGCTTATCCTCGAAACTATAATCTTATGATTCAATATGCATGCAAACGCAAGAAACGGGACATGGAATGCACATTTGACAGAGTTCGTTCTAGGGCAAAACAAAACCTGCAGTAAAGAACCTATTTCATGTTAAAATTCATGTTATCTACAGAACTGGTTGAAAACTGCATTCCGATTTCAACCAGCTAACCAAGTAGAATATTGATGTTTGTAACAAACAAAGAACAAAATGCACGAATCTTCCATTCATTAACACAATCGAAACTCATCGAATTTTCAGTGGCAAGGGCAGCTAAAAACAACCATCAAAATTGCACCTCCAATGGACAAAAACACTGTAAATTCATTCATTAACGGATCACCAAAAAACAACCAAACACAAAAAAAAGCACTGTCAAAATCATCACCCACAAAAAAAGAAAAATAAAAGTTAAAATTCAAATCGGCACATATCGTTTCAAGACTTGTTTCCCGGTGACGGCAAGCCCCGCAACCACCCCGCCGATCGCACCAGCGACCACGGCGGACCTGGGCCCCGCCGCCGCCTTGTACAGCACTCCGGTACCCAACCCCGCCACCACGCTGTTGATGCTGTCGTCCGTTTCCCTAAAAGCAACCATACCGCTCTCCAGACCAGCGAACATCAACCCTAATACGCCGCACCGGTTTCCCACCTGCCTGCCCGCGTGGCCCGACCCGTTTAGGATCCGATTAATTTTCAGCTTCAGGGTGTCGGTCCGCTCGATTGACTTCACCCCGGTGCCCAAACCCTTGGCGGCGCCGACGCTCGCGCCGGCGAGGTAGCCAATCCCCGTGTAGTAGGTCAAGTTCTCGCCCCAGGATCGCCGCTGCGCGATTGCCTCCTCCTGGAAGAGGAACTCCGGTGAGGTCGGCAGATTGTAAAGGGTTTTTGCGGGGAGGCGTAAATCTTGGTACGGGTTGTAGAGCCGGCGATTCGATTCGTTCTCGTCGCTTCCGCTGCTGTGATTCGGAGCTCGAGGTTGGTATGCCATGGCGGATTTCCGGATCCGGGTTCGACGGGTAACCCGAATAAGAAGTAGAAGCAGCTGAAAGAGGTGGTGGGGAGGGCTTCGTTAGGTTTCTTTTGGTTTCTTCTGCAGCTGCTTGTGACTTTTGAACGAAGAAATAAAAAAATAAATAAAAATCGGGCCTTTTTACTCAGCCGGTTCAATTGGACCGGACCGGCCCGGCCCGATTCGAATGTCATTTTACAATTGTGTATACTGTTCCGCACGTTTTAGGGTTACACATAGTCTGACGTGGCGTGGCACCGGGAGATCTTTTACTTCCCCAACTTCGTTAATATTATTGTTAGTTGCCCCTCAACTTTTGATTAAATAGCTAATTAGTCCTTTTCTAATTAGCGTTTAAAATTTGATTAAATAAAGGGGAAACTACAGATAAATCCCTAATTCAAAACTCAACACACAGATCAGTCCCTAGGTAGTTTCCCCAAGCAATTCAGTCCCTATTCACGCGTCTGACATGCAGTTCAGTCCCTAATGTGAATTTTATATATTTTATTATATTCTCTCTCTTCTTTTTCACTCTCACCCTTTTCTCTCTCTTCTTTTTTCTCTCTCTTCATCTTCTCTTTCTTTCTTCTATTTCTTCTCTGTTTCTACTGCTCTCTTTCTTCTCTATTTCTTCTCTCTTTCTCTCCTCTGGTTTCCTCTTTTTCCGACGAAAAAATCACTGTAAAACCCACCCACCCAACAATGGTTTCGAATCCCGAAAGGTTATTTTACTGTTGCCCACACCATGGCTACTCCCATTGGTGTGAACCATTTGAAGTTGGGCAAACTTTTTCCAACTCAAATCGTGAAGAAAATGAAGCTACAAGTGCGTCGATGAACCAAGTCCATCAAGAAAGTGAAGTGAAAATTGCAATTCTGAAGGTGGAGTAGTTCATAGTTTGATAGTGTTGAATCTAGTAATATTTGCAGTCTACATGCTATGTAAAACCTATGTACTGTTGTTTAATTAGTGAACATAAGAGTACAATGTATAAGCTGGTAAAGTTCGGGTTATTCGTGAATATAATACGCTTTGTCCACCAAATAAGTACAATGTATAAGCTGGTAAAGTTCGGGTTATTCGTGAATATAGTACGCTTTGTTCACCAAATAAGTACAATGTATAAGCTGGTAAAGTTTGGGTTATTCGTGAATATAGTACGCTTTGTTCATCAACTAAGTACAATGAATACACATGTGAAGTACAAGTGATTCGTGACTATAGTACGATTTGTTCACTGATAAAGTATATGTTTGCCATTTATATAATATTGTTACAGTCTATATATTATTGTCGGTCCAATGCATCCATATGATCGCATTTTAAGACACAACTCTTCATTTTAAGACTATTAAGAATGAATGGAGACAATGTGGGAGTTGATCAATATCGATTATGGTAACAATTGAAGAAAATATTAGTTTTACACTTGAGCATTGTAGACATGTATGAAATTCAACATATTTATGGGATCTTGTATTCCAAACGCAACAATAATTCTCACCTACCTTAAAATAACCATCTAAACCTACCTTAAAATAACCATCGAAAACATAATTTATGCATCTCCCGTACTTATTGATCATTAAAGCGTCAATGAAATTGGTACAATTCAATTCATCAAAAAATATGGTACGCTTTGATCATTGACTGCAATCTTCTTTTACATCAATTCCTGCAATTACATACATATAAAACTACAATTATAACAAATACAACGTACTATAAAGTTCCACATGTCAATACCATCCAAAGTTACTAGTAATACCATTCAAAGGCACTAGTAATACTATTATGGCATATGACTTATACTACAGGACCATCAAACATTATACTTCTAGTACCATATGTCAATACCATCCAAAGTCACTAGTAATACCATTCAAAGGCACTAGTAATACTATTATGGCATATGACTTATACTACAGGAGCATCAAACATTATACTTCTAGTACCATATGTCAATACCATCTAAATGCTTTCGGGACAGTACTTCGAGTACCCTGTGTCAATACCATGCATTATTAATACCATTACTGTCCATGACACATACTATAGAACCAGTACGAAAAATACAATAAGCATCTTTCCCATATCCTATATGAAACCCTTGTTAAACCCTTTGGGGACATGCTAATGTCACCGAAGAATAATACCCATGAGGAAACTGTTACAAAATCATGAAATTCGACAACAAATAAATGATCTTTGCAAACCCAAACAACAGAAAAACAGATATTGGAACCGATTTAATGATTAGGGAAAACACCGAATAAAGTCGAGGCATAATACCCATGAGAGGATATGTTCAAAATCATGCAATTCTACAACAAATAAACCTTTTTGCAAGCTTAAGCAACACCCAAATGGGTCTGTTTCCAAGAAAATGAAAGAAAAAAAAAATCAAACCTTGTTGTTTACCCTGCTTCACCATTGTTGAGAAATGGGTTTGTTTATTTTTATTTTTCCTTTCGTTGTATAATTTTTCTGCGTTTTGTTGATTCTTCGTGCTTCGTTGTTTCTTCCTTCTTTGAAATGTAACGGGCAAAGAGCGTGTAACACAAACGGCGCGTTGGAGGTTGGAAATAAGTTATGTAAAATTAGTATAAAGTAAAGGGTATTTTAGTATTTGCACATTTTATTAGGGACTGAACTGCATGTTAGGCGCGTGAGTAGGGACTGAATTGCTTGGGGAAACTACCTAGGGACTGATTTGTGTGTTGAGTTTTGGATTAGGGATTTATCTGTAGTTTCCCCTTAAATAAATAAATAAAATTTGATTAAATAAACAAAAAAATATATTAAATGCAACTGCAAAGAAAGACTGAAGTTATACATATAATTCCTGTCCCTCTCTACATGCCATCATCATATTTGCTCATCAAACTGTTGGAATACACACACTATGCAAGAAAATTATTTGCATGTACTGTCTGTACCTATATCTTAAATATACATACATTATACATTTTGATGTGGGAAATCATGTAATTTAAAAAAACCCATTTAAGATTAGCTGACAAACAAAATAAGTAACCACCAAGTTGTCTCTGAGTGAAACAAAAACTTTGCAAAAACCACTCATCAACTTCAAACTCGCCGATTTTGCTATTAATAATGTTCACGTAGTCTCGTTTCTGTCCCTCGTTGAACTATCTGTGTTTGTCGTGATCGTGCTGCTGTAGTTACCCGTCGGCGTTTCAGAATTGTTCCTAGTTTCCTGTTCGAACATGAAAAAGCGTTATGTCGCTGTACTAATATATTCACACACACATACATGTTGATGTATCTAATATATTTCAACCTAGGGGTGAAAATCGGACCGATCGGATCTGGATTAGCAGTTTTGGAAAAATTCTAATTTTTTCGGAAGTGGAAATTCCAATTCCGTTATAAAAAACCCAGAATAAAAAACGGGAATGAAACTTTTTGTTCCAAAATCGGAATTTTCAGCTCAGAATCTGCAGAATTCGGAAATTCCAATTTTTTTTGGTCATGTAAAATACAAAATGCATAATAATAATATTGATTTTATAAGTCTAATACTCAGAAAAACAATGAATAATTTTCGAAAGCTAAAATCGGATCTGACATTGGCCTATTCCAATTCCATTCCAAAAAAGAAAAATCAGAAAATTTGGAAATCGGAATGAAAATGCTGTTCAGAATTGGAAATACTCGAACCAGAATCGGCGAGAATTTGGAACTCCCGTCCCAATTTCCACCCTAATTTCACCAAACATAGCATTTACAACAACAGTCAACAACAACTAACCTGGCTAGAGGAAGACGAGCATTCTTGAAAACTTTGCCCCTTCGAGTACATGTAATAAAACATCCCCTCGGGCTGAACCTGGAACCCCACATCCCTCAACCGCTCGAGCCGAGGCAGCACCACCGTGTCGAGGTCCGGCCGGTCCCGCCTCCTCAGCTCGCAGCACGACAGCGCCAGGCTAGCGAACGCCAGCGCCTCATCGACCGGCCAATCCCTCACCGCCGGATCAAGAACATCCGCGAACCGCCCCGTCTCAATCGCCCGCTCCACTAGGTGGGCCAGCCCCATGGGCGGCTTGGCTGTGATTATTTGCAAAAGGACCACGCCCAAAGAATAAACGTCCGATTTGGTTCCCAACATTGCCGTCTGTTGGTACTCGGGGTCGATGTAGCAGAAAGTTCCAGCAGCGGCAGTCATCCGGTACTGGGTGACGGCGTCGGCGGCAGAGGGCGGCACCAGGCGGGAGAGGCCCACGTCGCCGATCTTGCTCACGTAATTCTTGTCTAGTAATATGTTGGCCGGTTTGAGGTCGCGGTGGACTAGCGGCTCGGGCCTTGTTTGGTGGAGGAAGTTTAGGGCGGTGGCGATTTCGGCGGCGATCTTGAAACGGGTGCTCCACGGCAAGGGCGGCGTGCCATCCTTGCGGAATAGTCGGTCCTCTAAGCTGCCGTTCTCCATGTACTCGTAGACTAAGCAACCGTACTCAGGGCATGCTCCTAAGAGAATGACCATGTTCGGATGTCTCATTCGGCTCAACACCTCGATCTGCGAGAAAGGAAAAAATTAAAATTCGTGGAAATTATAGTCGGAAATACAAGATTCATGTCTTGAAAATGGTTTACTGCATCCATCATCCCCGTGTTTATTCTAATTGTCGAAAGACTCTCCGTGTTATAAATATTGGCAAAATTAATCCCTACGATTCAATTCTATAGGCAAACTACCCCAAAAACGCACCACTTAGGGAGTTGTGTGCTTAAACAATGAGTTTATTGCATTTAGTATCCTTGTGTTATATCGAATTGTTAAAACACTCATTGTGTTATAAATATCAGCAAAACCCCCCACCTCGTGGTGCACTTTTTTAACAACTAATATAAACATAAGAGTGTTGAATGCAATAAACCCTACAGAAAAAACATCATAGGGATTTTTGTTTTGCTGATCTTTATAACACATGGGTACTAAATGCAATTAAATCCGTCTGAAAAAGAAAATGATAAGGACAGAATAGTCCAAAAGAATTTAAAGCGTACCTCGATATTGAATTGCTTAAGGCCTTCGGATATCTCCGACCGAAGAACTTTAACGGCGACGGGGGTGTGATCTATAGTAGCTCTATAAACGGGGCCGTAGCTCCCTTCCCCGATCATGTTAGAACTCGAGAAGTAATCCGTCGACACTTCGATTTCATCGATCGAGTACATTCTATACCGAACGATGGACCGCGCTAGCGCATCCATCGCCTTGTGCTTCTCTTCGGATTCCTTCTTGAACTTCCTCTCGGCGCGCTTTCTCTTCTCGGACTCGAGCTCGGCTAACCGTTGGGCCTTTTGTGCTATTCCCACCGCAGCTTTGCACTTTTGCTTCTCCTTGTCCACTATCGCCATTGCAGCTTCCTGTGCGTGCTTCGATTCCGCTAGCTTACTCGCCTCCTCCGATTTCCATTGGACAATGTCTCTTACCTACGAAAAAGAAAACATCATAAAACGTTGATTCGTTTATTTGCCTCGTGGATTTTTGCCATTATACTAAAATCTCCGATTATTTATCATCGGAGAAGTAATTTACTCCATCATTCGGAATTTTTCGAAGTTCGAAAACTTACCTTTTCTCTAGCAGTTACAGCTTCTTGACAAGCTGCATTGTACTTTTCAGTGATCTGCTTCAGCTCTAGTTTCATTCTCTTCAGCTCTTCCTCTAATTCCTGGATCATATATTGTTTGAATTTCATCAACACAATAAATCATTAAAATTCACTTACATATTCCCCCAAATAAATCAATTGTAAAACTTACAGCTGCAGAGGAGGTAGAGCTTCTAGAAGAATCCGAAATCCGGGGCTGATCCAGAAGATCGTACGACAGATCCGATTGAAAACTCTGCAACTCGGAATGTTCGCTGGAACCCGACGAATACTGCGAGAAGCTCTCCAGGGTTCTCCCCCGGAGATTCATGAAATTCACAGACTGCTGTAGGGCGTAAACCTTTCCTCCTTGAGGCCTTTTCGAATTCGAATTCGCCGCCGCCTGCCCGAATTCGCCGTCCCCCGACCGGGAATTGTCCTGCAGATCGAAGCTGCTGCCTCCGAACTGAGTCGACTCGGGGCTGACGCGGCGATTCTTCTCCCACGGGAACATGTGGTTGTGGAGCGATTCATTGCTGCTCACCGAGTTCGGAGGCGACGGCGTCGTATTGCCGACCGGAGAAAACGCGTTTTTGATTCCGTCGAGCGACCGCCTCGATGCGGTGAACCCTCCCTCGGAGGAGGACACCTCGCTTCTCCAACTCCCCTGTCTGTAAAATCTGACGTCAGCTTGTGAGGTTTTTTTTGCTAATGAGTTTTTTGCATTTAGCACCTTTATTTTGTATTAAATTACGAAACACTCCCTATGTTATAAATTTTAGAAGCAAAAAGCCCATGATACATTTTTTCAGGGGTAGTTTGTTAATAAAATTGAATCATAGGGGGGTTTTGCTAATAGTTATACCACATGTAGGGGTGGAAATTAGAATAAAATTAGAAATTCCGCCTGTTTTCAAATTTGGAACAACATTTTTCATTTTGAATCTGGAAAGTTCAGATTTCCGGGTTTTTTCTTTGGAATGGAATTGTAATATATATTAGATTCCGATTTCTGATTTTCGATTCGTTCGATTTCCATCCCTAACTACAATGAACGTTTTAGTAATTTGATATCACGCAGAGGTGTTGAATGCAATTAGACCTTTTTGCTAAGTAACCATGGAGGCGTAAAAACTATATGCGGAATATATACGAAGAAAATTAATATGCTATGATGGATTTACCGACGCAACTTTGGAGAATTTGTGGGGATACGATCGGGTGAGAAGGGATTGTCGGGCACGTATATGGGAGTAACGGGTTCACTAGCGGATTTTATTTTGATTGCTTTTCCCTTCGAGACGGCGTAAACCGAACAAGAATCGGGCGCGTATTTTCCTACAGAAGTTGGAACATCTGCATTTCTGAATGCCCTGAAACAAAAAAAATTTGAAGAACAAGAAAACAGTGGATTAGCAAGGATTAAGTAGTTAAACACACACACACACACACACACACACATATATATATATATATATATATATATATATACCTAGCTATGGCACTGCGGCTAGAAGCACCGAGGACTATTGTCTTGATGGAGTTGGCGCTAATATATTCAGACAACGCGTGTGCAATGTCGAGATCGTGTAGAATGACCTCTTCCGTGCGAATCTAATAAACATATAACGATCACAAAACTTAAAATATTAATCGAGGTCGAGAGATAATTATTGCGCGTCACAAGAAGATATATGATCACTTCGAGTGAAATTAAAATTTATTCTCATGATTTGGTTTTATTTGAGTTCAAGAATAAGTTCATTCTTATTTAATTCAAGATCAATGTGATGGTACATTCTTGCATAAGTGTGTGTGTGTGTGTGTGTGTTTTCGTGTTTCACGAGTTTAATAAATTGTGAAATTATCTTTTTACCCCTTTTCGAGCACAAAAGCCACGATAAGGAAGAAACATCTGTTGCATTTCAGCTTGAGTTGGCCCACGCGCCTCACCATCTTCTGCAACCAACAACAAATTATTACTACAGATTTTCATGCAACAACAAAAAATTATTTAAGGTACGTGCAAAGTCATAAATGTACATACGAAAACATAGTACGAAAACATAAAGAAACAAGATTTATAAATTTTCATGAAATAATAAAAAAAAAAAATTTACTCTACGAAATTATTTAAATGGTACTAATTAAATTAAATGATTTTTTTTTTTATTTTGTTTTTGGGAAATTAAGATGAGGGTGCATGCATGCATGCATGCATGCATGGATGAAATAAAGAAAAGAATACCTACGGGGATGCAAATTTTGTTGGGTGCAAACATGTACGAGGATGATTTTCTTATCCCTAAACCTTAAATTGTCAATGGCCCATCTGACGGCGTGTTGGCTGTTCTTGTCTCTGTCGATCGCCACCGCTGTCGGAACCATGCCTCCGCCGCCGGACGACGATTCAGGCGAATGTCCCTCCATTTCTTTTCTTTCTTTTTGCGGCGGGACGACCACCCAGAAAGGTGGGGGCTGCTGCCGCGCTACCGTCGTCGTAACTCCGCCATGCACCCGGCAGTACGTACGTGGAAGCTAATTAGCCAGCTGCAGCGGCGGAGGAATTTTAGTGTAATTGGTGGTGGGATTGTTTGACCATTTATTTTTTTTTTCCTTTGGTCAACCTTTTTTGGCCCCCCTTTTTCTAGGGGGTTCCAATTCTAGAGGTCTCCCATTTTTTGCCTTCACTCCTAACACCCATTTTTTTTGGTTATCTTTTGTATTTATTTAAAAAAAAATTAATATTAAAAGTGTAGTTATGCATGCATACTAATTAGGGCTGGGACTGGGTTGGGTCGGTCGATTACCAGCCTAAAAACCGACTCATCCGTCAAACCATTTTTGCTCAAATTTAAAAACCGTTGCCGACCCAACCTTTGTGGGTCGGTTGATGGTTGGCAACCGAATATTTGGTTCAGAAATGGGTCGGTTGATGGTTTATACCCGCCACATAGTTTACTTAAAAAAAATTCAAATTTTGGAGTAAAAATATCCATATTTTGCGTAATGCCACGGTGCGGTCATCATTTATTAGTTCAAAATAATTAATAACAATTTAACGAAAAAATATAATTAGAAAATTCGATGTAATTTCAAACATGCACAAGATATTTAGTGGAGTTTTGCGGAGCTTTTTGTTTAAGATTGGGCATAAAGAAACTGGATGAAGATTTAGGTCAATTTTTTTTCCTTTATTGATTGTTTTAAAATTTAAAATACTAATAATTTTGATTATTTCAATAACCACTTAAGAAAACATGGCCTTTGTTTTATATTTTTAACAAAATTTTAATAGTATAGTTGGATAACCGATAATTATCGGTCAACCAACTTTTGATAATATTAGAAACCACCAACCGACCCATTATAGATGGGTTGGTTGAAATTTTCGACCCGATCCAATGGGTCGGTTAAAAATTGATTATCCGCCTAAAAATATGGTCGGTAATGGGTCGGTTGGTGGATAAAAACCAACCCAGTCCCGGCCCTAATACTAATTGATATATGTGCAACTAAATGACTTTTATATATGTGTAGGTTTTTAGTTAGTATCACTAGCTATATAGTGTGAATATTTCAAGTTGATCGGGGTTAATTTTGACATATTTGGACGAAACTTGTATAATAAACCAAGATGATGAGGATTAGATCGACAAATTTCGGCTGAATTCATATAATGAGTTCCATTGTATTGCCTATCAAAACCAAATTCGAAAACAAGTTTAAACGCTCGATAAAATTCCAACAACTCTAAACAAACATGCATTCATCGTGATTCGATCCGTTTACACCCCTAGTTAAGATTATCAGTAATTATAACCATATGGCTTGAACCCATTACATTTGTTTTATATTTTAGAAATTTATTTCAAAACAAATAGTATTATAGTAATTCTTTTATAAGAAATTAAAAGTTTTTTTATTTTAAAATAATTTAAAATACTATTTTTTTTTACTTAGACTAATAATATGGCACCATCTATCAATCACTTTTTTTTAAACTTTTGTTTTTATTAATTTCATAGAAATCAAATATAGTATATAAGTCAATATATCTCAAATATTGTGGTGGGTAGAGTGTGTTTGACATACTACCTATTATTTATTTATTTATTTTATTTATTGTTGGCAATCATGTGACCCACTAGCAAATGCATTCTTGTTAAATTCCTATTGGTACAAGTAACATCCAACTTTATGTCCCAACAATTTATATTGACTTGCCAAAATTTCAATTGTTATATGCAACACGGCATTAATTAATTTTGGACTTATAAAGTCATTAGCCAATCCCATTGGGACACCTATCAATTTCATATCACACTCCCACTCAAATGCTTTCTTTCATCCCTCTCCAAGAAAAAAATAAATAAATTAATTAATAAAATAAAATAAAATGAGAAAAAAGTCATGTATGTCATCTAATGCCCATCTTCTCTATCTTATCCCCTTTTTTCAATCACAATTTATGTTACATTTTTTTTTACTAAATTTTTTATGTTACATTAACATTAGATCAAATTCATATCGAGTAAAGATTTACCATATTGATAGAATTAAATTTATGTTACATTCATTTTACTTTGAATTATTAATTTATGATATTAATTTGACCATATGAAGTATAAATTGCTAATATTAATTTATATATTTCGTTCAGTGTACTACGTAATGTTTTGAAAATTAGACTGGACAAGCTACTGAATCACTGTTGGATCAGTTCAACCGGGAGCCAGCCGGTTTCTTCATTTTTTAATTTTAGAATTATTTATACATAATTTTTATAGTAAATAAAGCATATTTTCTTTCACATACATTAACTCGTTACTCATTTCCAATTAAAACGTAAATCAAACTTAATTTTCTTTTACACAAACAACATATCTAACACACACATATCTCACCTAATCATTTCAAATATTATAGAAACTATAATAAAAAAGATAACACGTCTTCCAATTTCATAAAAAGTAAAATTTATTTAATTTTTTTTTTCAACCGCGCGTGCAGTAAAAAGACGTCGTTTGGACTTGTTTATTTTTTTTGAAAAAAAAACCCCAATTTTAGGCACAAAAAAATCCCGATTTTCACTCGAGTTCCGATATTACGGTTCAGCCGATCAAACCGGACTGAACAAGGCAATGATTTCACAGTTTAACCAATTCAACCGACCAATTCGATCCGGGTTTCAATACAGTAACCTAAACGTGTAGTGATTTGAGTCCAACCATAAAATAACTATTTTATTAATCTCTCTATATTTTATTAATTATAGGTAACCTTCATATGTGAAGCAAGGACACGTAGTCTTCTTGAAAAATGTCTCATGAAAAGTCCATGATCTTATTCTATACATATATTTCTTCATTATATTTATTACAGTTAGATAATCGAATCTACACGTGTCCCGCGAAAATGTCCAGCAAATTAGTAAAGCCCTTTTCCACACCACCCCCAATTCTCTCTTTGTCTTGCACCACAGCTCAGAAACGAAGGCTGGGGAGAAGAAATAATCTACTGTGAGAGAGTGTTCCTTTGAGCCCCTTTTCCACAGTTGTGGTGTTGACTTTTTGGTAAGAACCCTTCATTTCTTTTGCTTGATCCACTGTGAAAAATTGGTTCTTTATTTGTTTTTTTTTTGTTGGTGTAATTGTTGTGGGTTTTTAGTATAGTTTCAAGAATTCGTTGTTGTTGTTGAAGAATGAATCTTGATGGTATTTTGGTAAAAGTTGTTGGGGCAAAAATTGTTTGATGTTAAAGAAACTCATCATATTTTCAAGAATCAAAAAGGATTTTTTTTTTTTTCTAATTTTTATTTAATTAGATCCATGAAATAAATTGTCCCAAATGTCAAAAGAATTAGTATGTGTAAAGGGTTTCCATGTGAATCTTGATTTTGTACTGGGGGGGTTTGATTTTGCCCCTTTGTCAATTCTTTCAAGTATAGAAGTGTTTGTTGGTAGGGATGAAATTTGGTATTCTTCAGTTAATTTTTTTTTTTTACATAGAATGGAATGGTTTACGGGCTCTAGGTAATCGAATCTTGCATTTCTTGAAACTTGTTTATTCGTCACCGAATTTGATATATTTTTCGATTTTGTTTTTCTTCATGAAGAATCTCCGAGGGTTATCTGAACTATGCTGCTAAGGATATGAATAACTGAACAAAAGATCGAAGCTTTTTGTGTTATTCTTTAAGAAAGACGTACGATGGAAGAGATTTCGCCTGCAGTTGACCTTACACTTATCTTAGCCAACCCCATGTCTGAAAATTCCCACATGGAAATCACACAGATCAAACTAATAACAGAAACATCAACCTTGCTAAAGACGAAACAGATAGCAGAAAACGGCCTATTAGTTCACGACATTCAAGAAAGTGAAAAGGACGATTGCGTCCTCTCAGTCGAGGAAGACCCCATCTTATTAAGTCGAGTCGAGTTTCTACCCTTGGATTCTACAACTGTGCCTCTAATTGCCGTCGAAATCGAGGGAACTGAAAACGGTCAAATTCTTGCAAAGGTAATTAGTGTGGAGGAGAGGAGCATAAGACGCAAATTATCCGGTGATGTCCTAGCTGTATTTTCTAAACCAAGCGGGGAATATTCCAACGGGCCTGTGGTGAAAGAATCTGCAGTTTCTTTTCAGTTATCCACTGAGAAAAAATCGAGCAAAGGTGCGGTTAAGAATGTTTTTGAATTGGACTGTGTGCCTCTTTGGGGTTCGGTTTCGATCTGTGGACATAGGTCGGAAATGGAGGATGCGGTTATGGTTGTACCTCATTTCATGAAAATTCCTATTGAGATGTTTACGGGTGATTTTGGGATTAACGGGATAAGTCAAACATTCAGTCAACTGTCTTCGCATTTTTTCGGGGTTTACGATGGTCATGGTGGATCTCAGGTATGTATTGTGTTCCGTATTATTTCTAATTAGGGCCTTAATTCTTGATTATATTGGTTTGTTATTATGTAAAAATTGATGAAGTTGGGCTTTCTTTAATTGATCGGTTTGTTGCCGTTTTATTTCTAATCAGGGACAAGTTTCCCTTAATTCTTCATTTTGTTGGTTTCCGATTAAGTCGAAAAATTATGAATTTGGGCTTTCTTGAATTGATCCGTATGTTAACATTTTATTTCTAATTACGGGCAAATTTCCCTTAATTATTGATTATGTTGGTTTTGGATTAAGTCGAACAATTATGAAGTTGGGCTTTCTTGAATCGATCCGTATCTTGATGTTTTATTTCTAATAATTACGGACAAATTTTCCTTAATTCTTAATTATGTTGGTTTCCCATTAAGTCGAAAAATTATGAAGTTTCGCTTTCTTGAATAGTATTGAATCCTCTAAATATTATCTAACAAATTCGCACTCGGGTTTTTGTAGGTTGCAAATTACTGCCGTGATAGAATCCATCTGGAGTTAATGGATGAGTTGAAAAATCGTAAAGAAAAAATACTGGAGGGGCCCACAAGGGACACTAGGCAGGTCCAATGGGAGAAGGTCTTCAATAGTTGCTTTTCAAAAATCGACGACGAAGTTGGAGGAAAGGCAAAAACGGGGCCCGTTGCACCGGAAACCGTGGGGTCCACAGCTGTGGTTGCAGTTGTTTCTTCGTCACATATTGTAGTTGCCAACTGTGGAGATTCGAGGGCCGTCCTTTATCGTGGGAAAGAAGCAATCCCGTTATCCGTCGATCATAAAGTAAGATGACCTATTATATTCTCTTTTATTTTGTTATTATTTATTTATTTATATTTTAATTTCCGAGTATTTTATTTTGTTAGCCAAATCGAGAGGATGAATACGCGAGGATCGAGGCGGCTGGAGGCAAGGTAATTCAGTGGAACGGTCATCGTGTTCTAGGTGTTCTTGCAATGTCGAGGTCTATCGGTGAGTATTCTTTTTCTTTCTTTCTTTTACTTTTTAATTTTTTTTTTTTTTGTAATCAAGAAATTAAATTAATTGATTTTCAGGTGATAGATACTTAAAGCCTTCGATAATACCCGAACCGGAGGTAATGTTTGTTCCTCGGGCTAGAGAAGACGAGTGCCTAGTTCTAGCAAGTGACGGTTTGTGGGATGTCATGACGAATGAGGAGGCGTGTGACGTGGCGAGAAGACGAATCCTAATTTGGCACAAAAAAAATGGGGCCCACCCGTTAGTGGACAGAGGGCAAGGTGTGGACCCCGCCGCCCAAGCGGCTGCGGAGTACCTCTGCAACCTTGCCCTCCAGGAAGGGAGTCAAGACAATATTTCGGTTATTGTCGTGGATTTGAAATCTCGAAGAAAATTCAAGAGCAAGTCTTGATGTAACTTCCTTTTTTTTTTTAATTTTAACAGTGCTTGGTTATGGTAATATATAGTTTTATTATACAAGCATAAGGTGTTCAATTGTTTCGCAAATCCATCCAAATTTTCTAATAGGAGAATAGTTTTTTCAGTATGTAATATGTATAGAAATATTTTTTGGCTTTGCACATATGTTTCATTATTCATAGAATTGAATCCCACTAGTAGTAAATAATAAAATCGATTGTTATACATGTTATCCGTTTAAATTTGTTTGAATTTCTATCGAGCTTTTAAAAATGTAATCGAACTTCATAAAAAAAATCGAACTTCATACATAATTTATGATATTTTAAGTTCAAATATGACCCCTAAGTTAACAAACCGAGCTCAAAACACAATCGATTTCCAATCGAAAATAGTTTGATTTGATTTTCCACCCTAACAATAGGCTATGATAATAACATAAAGACCAAAAGCAACCAACCATCAAAAAAAAAAAAAAAGAGCTTCAAAGTTTAATAATACAAAATAAAAATTAAAAAAAAAAAAAAGACTGCGCACCGATTATATTTCGTAAATTTCACTCAGCGTCCACGCTTCTTCCTTTTAATGATATCGAATTTCAAGGGGACTTTAAGAGTAGCCGTGACAACTGTTTTCTCGCGGGCTAACTTGCAACCCAAGTAAGTGTAATGAGTTCTCAGCGATAAAGGGTCCATCCGAAGATCCTTTGCTATATCCGAAGGGTCGGACTTAAAATCATCAATGAATAAACAGAGCACCAATATATAACTTATAAGCAGATTCTGTTTTTGCTCTGGAATTCTCTTTTTGCTCGAAATGTCAAACATGGAGCTGAATTTCTGCAATAAGATAGAGGGGAATTTGTGATTCTTTGACAACGACACACCGTCCATCGAGTGTTTATCCTTGAACTTTATGAGGTGTGTGATGTAGGACAATATGCCAGCTATCTTCCTTTTGTTCCAGTCGTCCTACACAAAAAAAAAATTAGAAACGAGCTTATAGGAAAACGGACAAGATTCAAACTAAACATGTCGAGGCAATCATATATCCAAATTCAAGATTCAAACTACACTGGATAGAGTCCTAGTATAAAATCGATTTCAGTTTCTAAGTCGTTTCTTTTTAAGTATTGAAATAGTACATACCTAAAATTTCTACACAACAAAAAACACCATCGATATATTACGGAAGTTATTATATCCGCATGTTCAGTATGATTATCTTGCTCACGACAATTGACTCATTCGAACATAAACAGCATACTTCGAATAGTCCCGAATCAACCCAAAATTGAATATGTTCAACTGATAATAATACGGAAGGACAAAGCAAGAGTTACGCAAGAATACCAAGTTGAAGGAAACTACAAAACTTAACAAAAAACAACAAAAGAAAAAATTTGGGCCTTAAAAAAATTTACAAAATTCTAACCTCGGCTTCTTCAAGTTTGTGAAATCTATTGCAAACAAAACGCGGGTAAGCATCGGGGGTCACTTTATGGCCAGCTTGCGCGAGCTCGAAGATATCGACAAGGTAATCCCACTCCCCGTTAAGAATTATCCCGTCAAGCGGATAAGCCATTTCCACAACAGTGGCTTCCATATTATACGGAGGGATATTTCGATCATTAGTACCAACGGGAGCAGATTCGATAGCCTCTGTGTTGACCTTGACTCCTTTCAGTTTCATGTCGGTGTCACCCTCCATTCCAGGCTCGTCTGTCTGGCGTAGTGTGTACAGAGTGTCCATTTTCTCATCCTGAAATTAAATTGGATTATAGATTCATAATTACATTACTTGGGAAATTATTTATATATAAATATAGAAAATGTGTTCTATTAAAGGCTTATTTCTTCCTTGGAATTCATAATACGGAAATCGACGATACATAAACACGGAAAGGCTGTACCTTTTTAATATTTTTCTTCGTTGAGTACATTTTAGTCGTTTGTTTGGCTCTATCAGATTTTGTAGCTTCCTCCGTCACTTCTTCCGGCAGTTCTTTATCAGACTGCTCGACCGACGCAATTCTCGGTACCAATTTGAATATCTGCAATTATAAAAAAGCAAAGAAGAGAATGCATTGAAAACTTGTCAACATAACTTATGAGCAAATTAGCAAAACCCATATCTGGGAAATTCATAAAATTCAATAAGAAATCAATACACACAGAAAATTCAATACTAAAAAATTACGAAAAATTACCCGATTACCAGCAATGGGAACTATCCTCAAAATCCGGGTCTCCTTATCCAACACGCCGAGACCGTATTGACATATCTGCGGCGTAGTGGCCTCGCCGGAATAATTTGTGCCGACAAAATTAACTTCGGAACCACCCGCCCCCACCACCACCTGCATCCTAGGATTTTTAGGGTTTCGCGCAGTGGTGCTCCTGTAGATCTTGACGCTCGAATTGGATTCGATTCCCGAATCGGGTTCGCCGGAATTCTTCAGCGGGTCGTACCCGGACGGGAAGTATCCGATTACTGGAGCGGTTTTTTGTTCTGGATTTTCGTCAATTACCTTGATTTTCACATCAATGGCATCCGATATCTCGCCCATATCGACTTCGCGGCCCATTTCTTCATCTTCTGGTGCTTTCCTCTTCTTCTTCTCTTTTGATTTAGCCATGGCTTACGGCAAAACGTCTGCGGGGTGAATGTGGGTTTTTGGAGCTTTGCGTTAAACCCTAATGGCTGTAATAGGGAAAAAGTTTGTTTTCATTTGACTCCTCCAATTTTATTCTAATATGAGACAACTCCCGCAATTATTGATGATATGTAAATCAGATTAATTAATTTTTTATTTGAGGTTTATTATTAATTAATATTAATTATAATAAACTCTATTTATATTGGGTATGGTTGGCTGCGGATTCTTTTTAATTTGAGATTTATCATTAATTAATATGAATAATTAAATGTTGATATTTTTCTCTTATATATGTGAAAATATCGTAATACTAGAAACACATTTTCTCTAATTTAATATTTTAATTCAACAAATCTTTAAATAACTCTCATTTAAATTAATGTTTGGAATAGCTGCATTTATCACTTTACTCATTCGCATTGGCGAAGCCATGTTTTTATACTCGAGGGGCGAATATACATAAAAAAAAAAAAAAAATTAATGACATTAATAATGATTGTTTTAACTGAAATGTTAAATGTCATTTCAATTTTACTAATGTCGTTTTGATTTCGAACCTGATTTTGACATATTTCTATTTGGATTTTGGCAAAATTCGAAATACAAAAATTGTAGTCCTTTGGGTTAGCTTTCTAATCCAACTTAAATCCGCTAGATTGGATGCCGTATGACAAAGTTATGCATGAATGAGTCACATTTTGAATTTTAGATACCTCAATACATCAAAATTGTGGGAAGTATCCATTGATTCATGTATATCTTTATCGTCCGACATCCAATTTTGGTGATTCAAGTTGGATTGAAAAACTAACTCAGAATACTACAAATTCTCTTTTTCGAGTTTTGCAAAATTTGAAATTAAAAATGATCAAAATCACGTTTGAAGTCGTAAGGGTATTATTAAAGCTCGAACGACATTTATCACATCCCTTGTTTTAACTTTTAAGAGTTATGAGTGTAAGATTTTGTTATAAGGTGCTTTTAATTTTTGGGGTTCAAAGCAGAGCCCCGAAAATATTAAAATTGTTTTTTTTTTTTTTCTGATAAATCAAAAGATAGGAAAATAAAATCTTCTAGAATTTTTTATTTTTTTGATTTAATTGAATTCTGGGAGGATCAAATTAGAAAAATTGGATGGACTGAATAAATATAAACATTTAATATAATGGAATGTATTTCGATTGAGAGTGGAGTTGCCCCGGTTCCGAGCGACAATTCATAACTTCACTACCTTACTTGTGACACTCATAAATAATTTTTGTTTGCTCTCTTTAATTAAAAATAATTAATTTATTTTGAAAATAAAACAAAATTATTAAAAATTATAACAAATTGATAAATTGTACATGCATATATAATAGTAAAGAAAATTAATTGAGTTGGGGCTATGGCGCCCGGCCCTACACTGGCTTCCCCACAGCTC